ATCAGTAATTTTAATTAAGATTTCTAATAATTTAATTATATTTTATATATTACTATTTATATTACCTTGCTAGTTAGCTCTTAAGCTCTTTTTAATTATAAAGATTTATTATAACTAAATTAATATTCCAAGCTTTTCTTCTACTAGAAAAATATCTATATATTAATTTTTTATAATAATATAATAGAATTTATTCTATAAATCTTGATTTCCAGGATTCTTAATATTTATAAAATTTACTTGTCTGCTGAACGGCATTAAATTTAATAATATAAAAATAAAGAATAATAATAATAAAGCTGGTTTATATACTCTTTAATTATTAAAGTCTGTAGTAATATTAGTATTATTTAATCTAATATTCTACTGGTTAGTAAAATTAATTATAATAATTAAATTAAAATCTACTCTACTACTTTTTAATATATTATTATTATTTAAATTATTATTAATAAAAGATTTATTACTCAGAGTCTCTAGTTTCTGTAAATTCTACTGGAGTTAATATCTTATTTATATTTTATTTTTAATTTACTTTTAATTAGTAATCAGTAATAGTTTATTAATATATATAAAAGAAATATAGCTTATTTTATTATAATAATAACAGATTCTAGTCATTATTTACTCTTAATAAATAATAGTAGAAATCTACTATTACTACTCAGGTTATTATTATAATAACTAAAATTAATTAACTTAGAATCTCTGGTCCTGTAATAACTTTATCTTTTTTAAATATTATATAATATTTTTTAATATGTTAATTATTCTCTTATCTTTAATTTTAATATTAGTAATTTACTTACATTTAAATTTATCTCTAATAATATCTTCAGTAATATTAATTATATTTTTTAATAAGATATTTTTCTTCTAACATATTTATTTCCTGATAACTATATAAAGAATATTCTTAATATTCTTATAATTTAAATCTTTAATAAAAGTATTAATAATTATTAATATTAATAAATTATACTTTCTTAATAATAATATATAGCTGATTTCTAATATCTCTTTTATATATTTTTTAAAAGTATATTATTTCTGCCTCAGTACTGTAATCTGTTTTATAATATTTCTAATTAATTTTTATTTCTTTAATAAAGAAAACTATATCTTAAGATATTCAGATAATCTTTATTAATTCTTTTATATCTCTACTTTTAATATATTAATATATTTGAGAGCCCCATTTTAAAATTTAATTATTAAGATAATAATAATTATCTTTAATCAGTTCTTATTTAATAATCTTATTAATAACCACATTAACTTATACTGGTTAATATATAAATTAATATTCTTATTAATTTTACTAATAAAAATAAACTGAATAAATATTATTCTGCCCCTAATTTATAAAATATTATTAATATTTATTAATAAGAAAAGAAAATATAAATATAAATAAGAAAATCCTGCTTTTATACAGAATATTATATCTGTTTTTATATTTCTACTAAAAATAGTCTTTATCTAACCAGATATAGAAGTTAAACTACTCTTTAGACTTATAATAAATATTAATTTATTAAATATCTAATAAAGATTCTCAAACAGATTAATATAATCTTTTTAATTTATATATCTAAATATCTCTAGTATCTGAAGACTTAGTACTTATCCTAACCACAGCCAGTATTTTTTCTCTGCTTATTACTAATTACTAGATTCTTAGAGATTTCACAAGGCCCCAGTCTGGTTACTAAATATATAACTATTTGAATGAAATAATAACTGGTTACATTCAACAATTACACTAAACTAGTTGTAACTAACTAAGGATCATAGAGGAAGGGACCAGCGGGAACCTCTACTCATCTTGCCACCTTGCCACCCTGCCCAAATCAGCAGGTGCCTACCGCCTCCGTTACTAGGAAAGCACCCGACAGTACGGAAGTTCATTACTTGACTACCTCATTGAGTTTCTACTATAGGTAATTCCTGACCCATGCAATGAACCTCGTTAGATAAGGATAAACACTGCCTAGGAAGTGTCGTCAAAGGCAATTCGTTCCAGCTCAAATTAGACTCATCGACCCATCTGCATCAGACACAATGTGGCTGTCGATGATTGGCTTTTGGCGCAACTTTCTGAGCAGCAATTATTGAGACCAGATCGACGCCGCGCTTCCCGATTAGGCCTTGGAAATAGACATCCGTTCGAACGGCGTATTATGAGAAACACATGAGAGTTAACAACACCCGCTACACCTCTACTCATGCAAGCCCTCAATTATTGAAATCTTCTACTGTTGGCACGATGCAGGATTACGAGAAATCTGAGCTGTGTACTGACTAGGAATAATGGCAGTGATACTTACAGTACCCAGTAGTCTGGCATGTCGCCAGTATAAATCCATGGGCAGAGTCCGCATAATCTCTACAGACCTCGGGGCAGTGTGTGCTCATCTAAACCTCCAGGCGAGCCATGCCTCGCTATAGCCAGTGGTACACACCCCTCGTTTTGGGTCTGCTCTACAGCGGCCTAGCGGGGGCACTCTCTCATGCCCCAAGACAGATTGACCGAGAAGTCCTGAAATTTCAGGTACCGAGCCTGGTCACCGCGGATTCCCTGCACAACGTTCATTTAGACTTTGTGGACAGCAGCTTTGAAGGGCATATCAAAGTGCTCTACGGCGACTGTCACACTGGCCTTGGGCATCATGAGATCGGGAACATTGTCATCGCGCGTGACGCCCATCCAAAGCGCTTCGTTTGGATCACTCCGGCCGATGCGCCCCATCTCCACTGTCTCCACGCTGTTTCCGGACTGACCCTGCTCGCTCGTTCTGACCCCATTCCGATTGCTACCCGCTTGGCTCGTCGGAAAAGCATCGCCAATGTGTCTGATGTGATGGGCCCTTGGTTTGACGGCGTTGCGTACATGCAAGGCAAGGAACCCGGCAAGGCCGTGGTGTCGGTAGCCAAGAACTCCTCCGTGGCCATCCTCGGTGGTGGCATCTCCGGACTCATGACGAGTCTGCTGCTCAACTCTGTCGGCATGACCAATTGGCATATTGTGGAGTCCACCCATCGGTTGGGTGGCCGCATTCGCACCCATTATATGAACAATTCGCGGCCCGATCAGTACCAATACCAGGAGTTGGGGCCTATGCGCTTTCCCATGAACATCACCTACGCCGATACCAACGAGACGCTCCAAATTCAGGACATGCGGCTTGTCCTCCAGTTGGCCGATGTCCTCAACGAGCTCAATGCCGACACTAATCCAGAGCTGCGAGTCAACTTTATCCCCTGGATCCAGAATAATCCTAATCTCCCGGCGGACACGGGCGGTGTTCGTCTGCCAGATGGCCGAATCCCTACTGTAGCCCAGGTTGCCGCCAACTCGTCGCTGGCATACACGCCGCCCCCGGCCAACGCCAGTGCGGTTGCGGACGCCAAAGCTCAGTACATGGAGTACGCTGAGACAGACAAGATCAGCAAGATCCGGGAGGTTGCTCGCAATATGTACCGCGCACACAAAGCGGCGTTGGAAGATGGGTTCTACCACTGGTCGGAGGCCGCATATATGCGGTACGCGCTGGGGGAGGATGCGGATGTCGTGGACCTCGCCGCTGGCACGTCCAACAATCCCCTTTGGGATGGATTTTACGATGATGTCTACTTTGCGGCTACCGAATGGCGTACCATCGACCAGGGGGTGGAATCTCTGGCGCGAGCATTTTTACCGCACGTCACAGACAAGGCCACCCTCGGGCGGGCGGTGGCCGGGCTCTCGTACAATGAGAGCTCGGGCAAGATTGCCTACACCTGGCGCGACTCTCCCCTCCAGATCACCCCTGAGCGCAGCGAGGAATATGACTATGCCGTCGTGGCTGCGCCCTTTACCAAAGTGCGCATGTGGGATTTGCCACGATACTCGTCGATTCTGAGCCGGGCCATCTCCGAGACAAACTATCAACCCTCCTGCAAGCTCGCTCTGCTGTATGAAACTCGCTTCTGGGAGCACCAAGAGCAGCCCATCTTCGGGGGCTGCGGCCAGGTGGACATTCCGGGGGTGCAATATGTGTGCTATCCATCATTCAATCTAAATGGCACCGGTCCTGCTGCAGTTCTTGGGGCATATGCCGTCGGAAGCCCGGCGCGGAGTGTACAGGCGTTGAAACCTGAGGACTATGTGGCACTGGCACGGCGTAGCATGGTGGAGATCCATGGAGAGACCGCAGAGGAACAATTCACTGGTATGATGGTCTATAATATCTTTAGTCAAATTGAAGCTGATTGTCTCCATAGGAATTTCCCATGTTCACTGCTGGGAAACTGATGAACATCAGAACGGCGCATGGACACACCCCCTCGTTGGGCAGCAAGAGATTTTCCTGCCTGCCTACTACCAGACCGAGTTCCAGACGATATTTATTGGCGAGCATACCTCGTATACCCATGGCTGGATTGCCGCGGCTGTGGACTCCGCCGTGCGCGGGACTACCCAACTATTGCTAGATCTGGGACTGGTGGATGAGGCCAAGGCGATTGTGCATGAGTGGATGGGTCGATGGATTGAATTGTGAGTTGTAAAGATTGTAACATATGCAGGAGCTCTTAAGTGCACAAATCTGAGAAGATAGTTTCCTTGTCTGCAAGTCCAGGCAAATTGAATTGTGTCCGTGCTCGGATGATAGCAAATCGGGGGTCTCGGGCAGCACCGAGCAGCCGATGGTGCCTCCGAAATGCACGGTCATGCCCCAAAGGAGCTGTTGTAGATCCCCCACTTCCCGACTACCAACGCTGTATTCAACATGCTGGCCATGTGAGACGCCATTAGAAGAGGTCTGTATTCGTAGCATTCGGTTTGCCTGGCCATGAATTGTAGTCAGATGCGAGATGATATGTTTGTGAGGGAACATTCAAGAATAGTATCGCCCGGGCATTGCATATTCTGCGGATACGAATGAGAAGAACATTACTAGCGAACGAAACACATCCCTCGATTCGAAACTTATGTACAAAACCAGTCATCCCCTTCACTACGGCCCTCCAAGCTGCCCCTGGCCCCGAGTCCGTTGCTGGCTGATATACCGTCTCCACTGAATCCAAGTGAGCAAGACTGCACTTTCGAAAGAGCAATAGGAAGAAGCAAGTACTGACCATCGGATTGAAGAAGTAGACCGGAATCCCCAAGAGCAGAATGCCACCCACCACCCCCGCCAGAATCCCCATGGCTGCCGGATAACTATACTTGGCCACCATCGGGTTCAAGCCATAGCTGACCCCAAATCCAATGATATTTTTCGTCCCCACGACAGTCACCAACGCCGGACCCGGATTCTTCTCCCATGCCTCGGTGGCAAACGATGTCGTGCGGATGAGTGTCGAGACAAAGGCTACCTGGTAGAGTGTCCAGCCCATGAACGGCCCACCCCAAGTGGCATTGCCACTAGCGGTGAACCCATACAAGATCAACGAGGCTACTGCCAAAAGCCCGGGGAAGATCAATAAGAGAAGGTGGTGTTCGGGCTTATGAACACCTCCGGCGCGCCGGGCCAACCAGACAATGACACGGTCGCCCAAGATCCCCGCGTAGAGCATGCCGCCCAGCCCGCCAAATACTCCCCCTAAGTTGATGAGGCCAATGCTGGCGGCGCTCCAGCCGTAATTATACTGCAAGACCGTGTCATAGGTAAGAGAGACACCGACGGATCCGCCTAGAATGACAGCGGAGAGAAGTGTGGCATAAATAATGCCGGGCGAGCTGAAGGTCTCCAGCATCTGCCACCAGGTGAGCAGAACGTTGCGTACGGGATGAGGGCAGGGGCGTGGCCAAGCGTTGAGCATCTGGCGGTAGCTCTTCTTGGGAGGCGTGTCGCCACCGAGGTCGGCGTAGAAACGACCCTCATCACTAGCAAGATATTCTTGGGTTTCTGGTACAGTTAGAACTCGAGTCACTCCATATTGGTCGGTAACGACAGCATGTTCGCCCAGGAAAATCGGTCGACGTTGAAACCGCGTTTCAAAGCAGGCGAACACCACGAGAACGAGTCCGACGGCAACGGTTATAACAAACACCCAGTAAAACCAGCGCCAGCCCAGAGCTGCCACTTCGTACGAACTGGCTAGCGTCAGGAGACTCGTCACGATGTTTTGAGTGGCCCAGTAGATGCCGTAAATCGTGCCGCGCTGGTGGATAAAGGTCACCTCTGCCAACATCAAGGGGAGAAGCTATTGTAGGTTAGATCAGCAACAAAAAATACAAGTACGACTGCCACACCGATTCGGTCGCTCCTGTTGCGAAACCTAATAAGACACGCAACCCGAAATGCTGGGACCAGTTCTGCGACAAGGCACAACCAATCAACGAGCCCAGCAGAACGGTGTTGGCAATGAGCATCACTGGTCGACGCCCACAAACAAGGGCTAGCGGCAGGATTATGTAGTTCCCTGACGTCGGTAAGCTGCTGATGGTAACAGAACTGGGAAAGATACCTTACCAATTCCCACAAACAGTGAAGGAAAAGTGGAGAGCCAGACAACCTGGTTGGTGCTGTGACCTTCTGCGCCATACATCTGAAAGAATACATCCAGGACTGAGCCCAGACCTCCAATGACGGAGAGTGACATGATAGCTGGGGGAATGAGCTTGACGTTCGTAATTGAAGAAAGAAAGACTCACAGAACCAACAGCAGCACACTACGATGCCTGTCTTCTCCCACACCGCAAAGTTCAAGGGGTCATTGGGATCATCACTTGGTACCGGGAGACGCTTAATGCGACCGGCCTCGTCCACCAGAACCTGGTCGGCATGCTCGATGCAGTCAACGGCGATCTTCTTGTCGGCCATGCTGCTAGACACTCCTGCTTGAATAACAAGCGGCTGCACCGCATCGTGCTCTGGAGGGCTTTATAAACTCGCAGTTTATGTCCACTCCCCGAGCAGACTAAGCATTATCTGGAGAATGCGGGGGAAGATCTGGGGAATCCTGGACACGAGGCGGCGCCGAGCACATCAGTCCCGAAGGCATTAGATGCCGCCGAGCAGATAGTGTCCCATCGCTGGCATCGTTCGGCGGAACACTCCACACGAAGAGGTCCCGTCTCGGTCCCGTCTCAGGGTGTGGAGCAGATAAATATAATATGAGACCCACTGCCAGAGCTGTACGCCAGCCTGCCATGATCAGTGAAGATTTGGGTGGTGTAATGGTTCAAGAGTTGAGGAGTGATTCGGGGCTGGGCCGCCACGCTCGGACGCTCGGGGCGCCCCGAGAGCTCTAGAATGGCCGAGGAAGATAAGGACACATTTTTATCATGCCTACACGGGACGAATACAAATTGAAGGTTCTGTTCCTTGAAGTTCATGAATCAGCAAGTCCTATATACTTGAAATATTGTTATGCTGATCTGCTGTCCTGCAAATTCAATATTTCTCCCCATCGTATCCATTTCCATCACTCAAGCTGTTCGGAAGGAATTTACTCCTCGGGCACAAGCAACCGATCGATATCAGGACCTACTCGGAAGATACTAATTAGCGACATCTACGCCCATCTTCTACGCGACGAGACATACCGTATTCCTCCTCATAGGCGCTGAAGGTGATGACATTGTCATCGCCGCTCTCTAGTTGGGTGTTCAGCACCGAAGTGGCCGGCGTGTTTCCATTGTCGGACGGCAGGAATGCCAAAATCTGCGACTTGCCGTTCACTGTGACGGTGGCATAGCGCTGGGTAGAATCTCCGTTCTCATACCGCACCTGGATGGTGGTTGTGGTCGACGCGTCACTGGAGATGTTACGCATCTCGAGAGTCCCATTGTCGGACCCTCCGATCCAGCCAACAGACTCGTCGCCCGAGCAGCCGCTGCATGAGATCACCTTCGCCCCGTTGGACAGGACGTTAGTGGATGCTTCAGCTTCGGGGTCGGTTTCGTCGCCCCCGGACGACCAGGTGCCGTCTGTGGAGGGGATCCAGTTGGAGCTATCAATCTGTCGGTCGCTGTTAGTGGGGAGATCAATAGTTCATTTCGCATGAGGATCTGACCAAGGTCGCGTTGGTTCCACTCAATGTCAAGGGTAGCCAAATGTATGTCGAAGCCATCAGGTTCGATGATACCCAGCGGTCACCCATGTACCTGTCATCGTCAGCACAAGAGTATACTCACTTCTCCAGCCATGCTCACATCACGCTCTTCCCAACCTGCATCACAAAGGTGGTCTGGGAGTCATAGGTGTCCGTCCCCGCCGTTGCAAAGTCACTCCAATCACTCCATGTGCCATTGAGGTCTGTGGAAGTGGTGTACTTGTTATCATTGGCAGCTAAATCAGATGTCAGTAGTCACACAGGCTACGATTATTTCCGAATCTCCACGTACACCATCCTAAACATTGTCAGTGAGGCATTCAATAAGGGGAAGCTCGAAATATCTAACCAGTCAATTGCGATCCGAACATGAAATAGACCCCATCCTGCTTATAGATGGCCGGTGCCTCGTAATGCTCCGGGAACAGGTGAGTAGTATAAGTTACATTGAGGTAGTCGTCAGTCAATCGGTCAATCCGCAAGCCGTTCGGACGCTGTGAGGTTAGCTTATTAATGCCCATCGAAATATCTGGTGTTCGGCTTACATCCTCAGAAAGCAAATAGGCCGTTCCGTTGTCATCTTTGTACAGACCGATATCGCGCGACTGATGGCCCAGCGGCTGGAACGAACCACTAGATCCCGATGAGAGTATGTCTCCCGTGGTACGACAAAGGGCTTATTACTCACAGATAATCGTACTTTCCGCAGACCCTCGAGGAGGTGGCTACCCCCGTTTTTGCCTCGCCATAGGAGCTATCGTCGATGTGCATCCACATCACATACGTGGAGGTGTCATCATTGTAGATGATCTTGGGCCGCTCCACGACGCGGTCGGGGCCAAGATCTCCACTGCTCTGCATGGAGAGCAATTCACCCTCAAACGTCCACTCGACCAAGTTCTAGGAAGCATCGTCAGACACGTGTGCATGGTACAAGTTACCTGATCGGAGATGACGCACCGTGCTGGAATAGCAGTTGATGGACTGGAACGCGCTTCCGTTCAGGTGGTTCTCCCCGGCCCAGTAGTATGTGCCGTCCACTTCAATGATGCCTGAAACCCACAGAATCAGAGATGTCCGATCGGATATTTTGGGTCTATATCTGGAGATTATGAAGCACCTACCACCTCCATGAGCTTGAATATGTTGATTTGTCCCCGAGGCAGTCCATGTCGCGCCCGGAACCTGCCCCTGTTAGTTCTCAGAGGTCTCTTTAACTACAGCAGGGCAGGCACAAACAATCTGTAACGATGCAGTCGCAACATTGGCGATTGCCACGGAAGTAAGAAGGACATGCGCCAACATGATGCTAAGACTCGATATCAGGCAAGAAGCAGTATATAAACATGAAAAGGTATCGCATCGCCAGGGGCAAGCAGGTCAGGAAGTGACTAGTAATATGTACATGATGCGAATGAGGGGATAGAGTGGATCGGGTGATTGGGGGAGAAATCCCCTGCCCGATATTATATTGCTGACGGTGCCACCTCAACCGTGTCTCATATTTCTTCAGGGATCCTGGCTGGCTTTGCTGCAGGATCTACATTCTTTTTGGGATTTGCTCCGGTGGAGGTTGAAACCCCGCCCGTGAGTCCGATGATCTTTTCCGAGTCCGATTCTTTCCCACCAGCTGCAAGGAACAGGCCACTTCTCCATCCACTCTACTGTTGACCTTAAAGATCCCTCTCTCAATCCTGCTCGCGGTTCTATTAATGCCATTCGCAAGCCTGAACCCCACCAATGTGACTGTCGACGGAGTACAATCGTTGACAGCCCAAACAAGTCCACTTTTAGGGTGACATTGTTCACCCTGCTTCCCCAATTGTTTCCAATCTACATCTGCGGAATTGGGAAGATCATACTGGCGAGCTCGGTGATTTCCTCAACACCAAGACTTTTGAGGCTTTCAAGAATCTCGTCGATCATGGTAGAGGAAAGTCCTTCCTTATTGCGAGAGTAAATGTCAATGCCGGCCGGAGTGAAGATAGTTTTGGCAAAGTAGGTGACCATCCATTGATTGTCTTCTTCCAGTGCCTGGCCAAAGCCGAGGCATTCCCAGTGTGAGCTCGCGATCATCAGCAAACCCCTGCCGCGCCAGTCCCAGGCCCCTTGGTTCCCCGGAGTTGGGGTGTCCACGCCATGAACCGACTTGATCTTCTCCGACCCAATGACTTGATATTGTACGAGGTCGTCAATCCTGACCATGCCAGAGGAATCCGGCGGAAGCAACTGATAAGTGATGTTGACATTGCACTTGCCCTTCCAGAGCGGCAGACTGGAGTGTGTGACATGCCAGGTGCCAAGCAGGAAGTCATTGGTCGGAGGCACACACTTACGACCGCGATTGGCATAAATTTTAGGGAGTCCGATAATGAGGGAAGAAGCCATGGTTGGGATCAATGTCGCGTGGGGTTCGCGATCATGAGATGACGATGGAAAAAGAAAAAGGGGGGCTGGGCTGATTGATGAGGCAAATCCCAATCCATCCCGCAAATTGCTTACTTAACCGTACAGCATGCCATTCATCAGTATGATATGATATTTCTTCACCTCTCGCAGTCTAATGAATCAGCTACTAAACTGAAAATCCCAATCTGGTGTAGCGGGCTTTATACAACCATATCGGATTGGGTATCCGAGACATTATCACGGCCACTGCATGCAATAACTTCCCACATGAACATGCCCTTCATGATGCTCGGAATTATCGCTTCAAGTAAAACTTATCCCGCCAGCTGCGCAGCTGTTGCCGGCGTTACAGACCCTCCACCGGTCAACTGCTTGGTCGTCCCGTTTAACCATCGGTTTCCGGCTGCGCTCGAGTCATAATACAAGGTGTATCCAGCACTGTACACATTGCTCAACGTCCGGTCCGAGTCAGTGAAATTGTTGAGCACTGTGTCATTGGTCAACGTCCATGTGGATGTCACATCCAGTGAGACAGCAAAGGTCGAGGTGCCATAGCCCGAGTATGCTGTACCTGTCCACGAGGAGTAGTCCGTCAGCGACCAGCTGATACTGCTGCCATTGTACGCGACAAGGTCTCCCTCCAGATCGGATTCGGATATGGTGACAGTTGCTTCAGCGGCGGCTGTAGAATCCGCGAAATAGCTAAAATCCTGTGTAACCTGAGAGTAATTGGCGACGACCAAGATGCCCGACGTGGTGTTGATGGACGTACTTGTCAAATGAGAGCTGGCGATAACATTGCCGAACCAAAGCGCTGCCGCCGCCTCGGGGAGAACCGTCAGACGAGAGTTGGTGAAGTTGATCTCCGAGCCAGACCCCCGTGTCCCAGATGAGAAGACCACTGCTCCCGCCAGCAGGCCTGCAGTAAGATCGGAATCGTAGATGTCAATCTGGGCGGTATCTAAGAAGGCAACGGGAGCCTGCTCGGCATACCCCACGATGTTCTCGGCATAGACGGTGCCCTGACCGTAAATGATGGCGCTCCCAATACCCGCCGTATGTGCGACGGAGTCGTACACATACACATAGCCTTGGGGACTGTCCCCGGCAAACGACGAAGATCGATAAGCCCCGGAGTAGTGTTCTAGATTTCGGCCTACAATGGTACCGTAGCCTGCTGCATACAGGCCATGCGAGACTGGACCGGAGCTGTACAGGCTCGAGTCTGAGATGGAGACATAAGTATTGTTCCCATAGGAATAGATATTGGCTGCCCCGTTGTGCACTGTCACGTTAACGTGGTCAAAATTTGCCACAGAATCGTTGGCCACATTAACGGCTGCGTTCAGGCCAAAGAAACTGGACTGGTAGAGATCGCTGGAGTACCCGCGTTTAACAATGGTGGAGTAGGAGATATTCACGTCTGATCCTTCGGTGATAACGAGGACACTGGTGTCATTGGCAGAGACGGCAAGCGTTTCATGCTCGATAGTACCAGTTTTATCAGAGTATTCATAAGCCCCCACGATAGCATTGACTTGATAGGTAGTCGGGGTGTAGTCCCAATTCGCCGTCAATGCATCATCAGCTGCATCGGCGGTGAGAACAGCAAAGTCGCTGGAATCGTGGAGGGTAACCGTGGCTGTGCCGAGAGCAGCAAGGAGAAGGAGAGATAGCATTATGAGTGCAAATGAAGACCTGGAATGGAGAGTGATGCGCTGGATCGACTATTCCATGAGGGGGCGTACCAAGATTATTTTAGGAACTGCTAGACAGATGCTTCCAATAACTTCAAATTCAAACCCCACCCATGCAAGCACTTTTCCCACGGCTTTTAAAGAGGGCTGCCGCGTCAACCCTCCATTACAAGCACCATGATTGGTTATCGTTGATCGGGTTTATGAAAAGAGTCTCGAGTATGGGTACAGACAGGGCCGCGTCTCCATTGTCGGCTCCACATCCCAATCACTTTAATCAAGCTTAATATCTCGGTAGCCGACCTTGATCGGAACAATAGGAGTAGTGATAGATTTATATGACCTAAATCTTGCGCATGAGTTGCGACCACCCAAATTTATATGACAAGCATAACCCAGAAAGACTCACGTATTGGGGACGTGTAAAGACGTCTTCATTAAACACCTTGAGGAGAGAAAAGAAAATGTTGGATTTCATTCCTAAATGTACTGCCGTGGGGCCGAAGGAAATATTGGTCATGTAGAGCCAATTCAGGAATTTGTACCCCAGATACCGATGGCTTAAGAGGAAGTACTGCAAGGTAGCTAACAGAGCCATACTAGCAGGCGCTGGGGTCCTTGAATCAACGTTAAGCAAGCAGGAAAGTGTATCAACCGCATCCACTTCTCCGCATTATTCCCCCACATCTTCAAAGTGGGCACTTCCACAGGGTCCTTCATTTGACGCAGCACACGTGGATAGTGCAAATAATTCCACGATTACCTGGGGGAGAAACCCGAAGCACATGGATGGACCACGTCCCGACTTGATGTTGCGTCTGCCAAACGAAGGGGATATTGCACGCAGAACGCCTATATAAGCCACCATCGCAGGTCTCAAGAGCATGACTGGCAGTCTGTGGAGCAGTTAGTCATTCGAAACCCACCAGACCAGTATCTGCATCCTGTCTTCTTTTACCCTTATCATGCCTCGTCAGCCGTGGAATATCCTCATAGTAGGAAGCCTGCATCTGCTGCCAGTCTTAAATGCTGCGGCTACCTCATCTACCAGTTCTCTGCCTACCACCGCTGCCTACTATGTCAGTGAAAGCACCAAGACGTTTGCTGATACGACTCTAACCGCCACCGGAACCGATGAAGCGGTGATCATTGTCAAAGAGACAGGAGTTGCTATTTTGTCTGACGTAACACTGATCAAGACCGGCAACACGACCAGCAGTGATGACAGCTCCTTCACGGATCTTAATGCCGCAGTCGGTCTGGAGACCAATGGCACGGTATATATCACCGACAGCAACATCACCACCAACGGCTTGAGTGCTAATGGACTACACACCTATGAAGACGGCACCACTGCCTACCTCTCCAACGTGTATATTCACGCAGAGGGAGATGGTTCACATGGCATCTACACCGCCGGTGGAGCCATCTACGGCGAGAACCTTGAGATTTATACGTATGATGGCCATGGCAGTGCCATCGCCACTGACCAAGGCGGCGGCCTCATCATGGTAGAAAATTCGGCTGCGTACACCTACGGTGCGCTCTCAGCATTGGTATACTCCACGGGAAATATTACAGTTCGTTCCCTTACTGGCACATCAGCCATTGCCCCTGTAGCATGCATTGATGGTGCAAACTCGTTTACCTTGACCGACTGTGATCTTTCCTCCGGAACGCAGAACAATGGTGTGTTTCAAATTGTGAGTACAGTATCGAGCAGCACAACGGAAACCGCCTATGCCTATGTGAACGGTGGCACCGTATCCGAGACCAATGGCACCTATGCCTTGCTCTTTGTGGCTAACATTGAGGCCTATGTGTTACTGACCGATGTCGCCATCTCCATCAAATCCGGGATTCTAGCCAATATCACTGCTGACAGTGATTGGGGTACATCAGGAGAGAACGGCGGCACTGCCAATGTATATCTCTCGGGGATTGATGTCACCGGCGACATCTACGTGGATGACATCAGCGCGATCAATCTGTACCTGATCGGGTCAAGTTGGACAGGCGCGCTGAATCAGGCGAACACGTCAGGGTCTGCATCTGTGTATCTGGATCGCAGTAGTACTTGGACACTGACAGGGAATTCGAATGTCGAGAGTATCAGCCGGGTGACTGGGTCCAGCATCTTTACTGGTCAATATCGAGTGACCGAGGTTGCTTAGGGGAAGGAATACCGCTGAAGAGATGCGGTGCTGTGGCAGGAAGTCCCGATGTAATCATTTGAAGGGGAGTGTCATTATAGCTCTGGAAGCAATGATATCCGGTGGTTATTATCTCCGGACTGTGGGCTGCATCCGTGGGGTCTGGGTTCGGAAGGCATTCGCCGATTGAAGGTCCGACCGGCCCGCAATATCCGACGGAGTACATCATTTAAGTTTATTCTTGCTGTCTTCCCCGCACGAGAGGGCATTTAGACTTTCTGCAAATACCATCTGCAGCTCTCCTTCTTCCTGATCACGACTTAATTTCCTTGATCTTTTGATTTTCTCTCATCAATCCCAATATCCGATATGCCGCAGAAGCTCACGGTCGCGGTGGCGCAAGCCAGCACCCAGTCCACCCTAGCAGCCACCTTGGCGGCCCTGGAGCGAGTGACTCGCCATGCTGCAGCCCGCGGGGTGCACTTGATTCTATTCCCGGAGGCGTATTTGGGAGGCTATCCCCGGACGTGCGACTTTGGCACAGCGGTTGGCGCCCGTGGCGCTCATGGTCGCGACCAATTCCTCGAATACTTCCATGCCGCGGTCGACTTGGGTGACACCCCAACCGGAGCTGGAGACAACTGGGTGAACCGGAGATTGCCCCTTCCACGAGGCAAGGAATATCGCGGGGATGGCACCCGAGAGGCTCTGGAGAAGATCTCCCGCGAAACGGGCGTGTTCATTGTGTGTGGCGTCATCGAGCGCGCCGGGGGTAGCCTGTATTGTTCCGCCATCTATGTCGACCCGCGCGATGGCGCCTTGGGCAAGCGTCGGAAAGTAATGCCAGTGAGTGAAGGCAACTTGTTTCTAAAAAAATGTGTTGATCATGCTAATCTGAGACTGATAGACAGCCTCGGAGCGTCTGATCTGGGCTCAAGGATCGCCTTCTACCCTCAAGGCTGTCACCACCGAACTTAATGGGGTTCGGCTGACCATCGGAGCAGCGATCTGCTGGGAGAATTACATGCCGATGCTTCGACAGAGCCTGTACTCCCAGAATGTCAACCTCTATTTGGCCCCTACAGCCGATGCCCGCGATACGTGGCTGCCGTTGATGCGCACAGTGGCTGGAGAAGGCCGTACGTTCGTTCTCTCTGCCAACCAATGTGTGCGACGCCGGGAACTGCCCGGATGGATCACAGCCAACTCCCAGGACAAACATAATGGCGATGAATATATATGTAGGGGCGGCTCCTGCATTGTCGGACCCCTAGGAGAAGTCCTGAGTGAGCCCATCTGGGAAGTCAGTACGGATGATGTGACAGACGCCGATGATCCCAATGATCCAGCCATGGCAGCCGCGCTGTCAATCACAGAGATCGATGTGGAGGATTGCGAGCGCGGCCGGTTGGATCTAGACGTAGCCGGCAGTTATTCACGCAATGATTCCTTCAAGCTGACCGTAGATGGGCTGGACCTGAACCCGCCTCCAGTATAAGCTGTCGGTGACCCTTGCGAGTTTGATGTATATACCTTACCGCAGAATTGTAATAAGTTGTAGAAGATATTGTTCAGTTGAAGGGTGGACGCATCTGGAGCAGAGCAGGCAAAGAGCGAGAGCCAATGCCATTGCGATACACTATTAGGCTCACTACCATTAAGTAGCACACACCTTTGGATTGATTGCAGCCAATTCTCCTTTGAACTTTTCGATTCACTAATCCATGTAATGTCCCAAATAGGCAACCCGGCTTCATCACCTCGGACAGGAGACTTAGTCAGCCATTACATCAGCTGCAGCTAACCAGTTCCGGGAAATCTGCCTGGTTTCGTGGTTTTGATTGATTGGTAGCAATCGGCCTCATCTAAATTTACTTACTTGCCATACATCCTTGAATCAGGGCTGCTGATATGTAGAAGCTCTTGGAGACACGAGTAGAAACCTTCTACAGCACCTTAGGATGACACCTAGTCCGGCGCCTTCACCTCGTTTGGCCTGCCGACGCTGTCGTATTCGCAAACAGAAAGCAAGTCTCCCATCAGCACCAATTGAACCACATCCGCTAATGCAAGGGTTGATATATAGTGCAGCCAGCCTCGACCATGCACCAATTGTGTTCAGGCAGAAGCAGGTAAGACTGCCTTGATCGTGCTGCTGTCGTTGATATTCTGTTCTGACTGACATGAATCAGCCTGTGTCCCCAGTCAACGGCCCGCTAGGAAGAGTCGCGTCAATCCAGAGTAAGCTGATCTCCAATCAGGCTGATGGCCAGGAAGCATGATTCTGATCACAATAGGTATGCTCGTGTTCTGGAGGAACGGATAATCGAGCTTGAATCTCAACAGCGCGGTCCCGCTCATCATGCTCTTGGTCTGGGCACCACCTCAGGCCTGAGTAAGGCAGACATGCAACCGACAGAGTCACCTGAACCGCCACGAACACGAATGACTCGAGCTCTGACCGCAGAAGATGCAACTTCTCCGGCATGTCGCCTCTCGTCCCATATCCCGGGAGATGCTGGAAGCACGCAAGCTGGAAGTACCCCTTCCGTTACTATCCTCCCCCCGGTTGTCCAAGGCTCTCCTCATTCAGGGTTTCTTCCCGGGACCAATTATGAAATGGAAATCCCTTCACAGACCCAGGATGAGTTGATCCAGACATTTCTTCAGCGGGTGAACCCGCGTTATCCCTTCCTCCACGAAGGAACCTTCGTTGCCTGGTATGAATCGTGGAAAGAATCTAGGAACTTAGGTGTGCCCCTGCCGCCGCAAGAGCAATGGAAGGCATTCTTCATCAAGATGGTGGGTTATTCGCGATTCGCCTGCAGTGCATACTGACAGCTAGTGACAGGCACTTGCGGTTAGCCTTCTGATTGCACCTCGAGTATCACCCCGGGATATGAAAGTTTCTCAGGTAGGAGGACCGTGAAGTCGCAATGTGCCCCCACTGAAGATCACAGGCTCTGTATTCCTCCGCTACATCATCTCTGGATGCTGTGTTCGCTTGTCTTGACCCGGTATTGCATGCACAGGCCTACCTACTGTGCACACTGCATGCACTGCACTCGCCTTCTTCGCAAACGGTCTTGACCATGATCGCTGCAGCCATGCGTTGCTGCGTGGTGGCACAGTTGCATTTGTCAGAAGTAGAACACCGGCCACAAGAACTGCTCTGGGAAAGGCAGATTCGACGCCGTGTGTTCTGGTCTGCTTACGCAATTGATCGCTTGGTCAGTTGGGTTTATCATGTCCCGTGCACTCTCGTAGATGAAGACATTCAAGTTGAGGTGAGATCTCGCTCGTAGCATAACAAAATGGTGGATCTGACTTGAATAAAACAGCCTTTTGCAAACATGAACGATCACGAGATCAAAGAATGGCAAGTCCGGGCTGATCGGCTGGAACCGGATGCATCCACCCCGCGCAGGACTCAAGTCTCGTCTGCTCTTCATCTAATCCGCGGTCGGAGAATCCAGTCTCGCATCCTGAGCATTATGATGCGAGCAGACTATGACCAGCGACTTGTTGAATCTCATCAGTGGCGTCTTCATATGCTCGAGGTGCTCGATGAGTGGAAAGCGCAGCTGGAACCCCATAGCGACCCGCTCTCTAAGGGCTATACCAGCGAAGGATGGGTGGGCATGCTGTACAACTATACAGTGCTTCTCCTTTATCGACCGACAAAAGCGAATATGACTAACTTGGTCATGAAGCATTGTATTGGAGCCTGTACCGACATTGCTCTGACATTCTGGAAGTACCTCAAGAGCCGTCAAACGGCTCAACTATGGCCGGGGGTGAGTAGCTGTCCCCATCATTGTCTCCCAGGATGGCAACTGAAACTCTTGTAGCTCCTTAGCCAGTTTGGGATAGGCATCACACTGTTATACTGCCTGTGGATGGTGCCTCCATCGCAACGATCCATTGAGGCTCAGTCACCAAACATAGGCCCAGCCATTCGAACGTGCTCAGTGATTCTGGCAGTACTGTCCGAACGGTGGACTGAAGCTGAACCCTTGCGGGACATTTTTGATCTCCTGGCCGACTCTATTCCGATCTATTGGTCTCATGATGGAGAAGAAAGCCGCATTTCGACGTCTTCGGCAAAGACAATTCAGGAATATTTGCCCCGAGTGACGGCCATCGTCATCAACAAAGACATCATGCGCATGCTTCTTGAGATGGCCACTGAGGATTATCCGTGGGCTGCAGGTGGGACGGTGAATGTGGGTGACTGGTCGTCTAATGATGTGCACAGCGCCCAAGATTGCCCTCTATGCTTGGGAACCCGAGCACACCAAGCGGACTTGCCTTCGGTCGGCTTTGACGCAGTGAACCTGTGGCCAGGCTTTGATAATGATACAGATCACTCCTTGACAGTTTTGTCTGGGGAATACTCGCTATTCCCGGGACTGCTGGGCTCGATCGAGTTTTGATCCTTCGATCCTTCAGCTGATGCACTGGTTAGTTATGCAGCCTGATTACTAACTGACCTGCATAACATGACAGTTACTTTAGGGCCCCTTTTAGATTCCCGCTACTTTCACTGTTTGAACTCTTCTGGCATAGCTATCCTAATTAATCTCGTCCACCCTCCACCCATGAAACTGTCTCCTCCGGCAGAGGACGATTTCGTCTTCGTAAATGTCTCGCGTCCCGACGAATTCAAGTCTGCGTCAACACAGCGCACCATCCGGCGCCATGTCATGCGCGACATTGGGAGATCGCGTCGTCGCACCCGCCCGGGGCAACGAACTTGGTCCGTCACCCTACGAGCCCCTTCAGATCCAGTCGCAGAGCACATCCCAGTGTCGATTGACCCATGCAATACGACGTTTTATCCCGGCCCTATGAGCGACCGAGCGCTACAGCTCATGCACTTCAGTATGTCCCTGCAAATACCAGCGCCTCCTCGACCTTACCTATCTGACCCGCGTAGTGACTACGGACCGCGACTACGTGTTTCGTCCCTTTCGGACGGTATGGTTCTCCATGGCATTAACTGACGCCACTGCCGTCCTTGTGGCCTTGGCCAATGCTGCCATGTTTCTAGATCAACGTCTGCGGGCCCAGACGTACAGGTACCAGACTAGTGCGGAGTGTCTGAGTTACTATGGCCAGTGCGTTCGGCAAGTCACGCACCGGCTGGCAGATACCCATGAAAGTCTCAGCCAAGGGGTTATCACGGCTATATTAGGTCTGACCTGTCACGATGTTTGTCAACCGCCGCACTTTATCAATGGATACTTGTTAACTCAGCAGATAGCTTTATGTGGGCACGCTAGATCGCTGGAAAATTCATATTAGTGGCCTGGGACGTATCATCCACTTGAGGGGTGGATACCGGGGCCTAGATGACAGTATCACGCGCTTCGCTATTTGGTAACCTTTTCAAATCCTGTCGTTATTTTATCGATCTATGAGCTAACTGCTCGGCATCAGGCTCGACATTGCGGGTAGCGTGATGGAAGACTCCCGCCCACGGTTGCCTACTCCGCCGGGATTTGCATCCCAAGTCCCCAATATTCCGTCTCCCACTCTTGGGAAACTTCTTGGGAACCTTGTTGCAAGATATGATTACTACAGCGACATCACGACAGCCTTCAGTTATGCGAACTTTATTGTCCAATACACGGACGGGTCCCTTCGTCGTTCTGAGACAGCCTGGCTAAACGAGGATAACCTCACTGTAATTGAACTGTTTGGGCCAGCCACACATTTCCTACTTTGCATGTCGAGGCCGACCGAGATAAGCTCTAGCGCAACAGACATACCAGTTCTACAGCTACGCGAAGCACTCCGGCTGGTGCTATTACTATTCCTTGGCACGTTGAAGCAAGCAGTCTTTCTCTTTACCGCCCACGAATGCGAATATCTGTGGTGCAAGTTGTCGACACTCATTTCACAGATTGAGAAGGCCAACTATGACGACTCTTGTCTGAAACTGTATCTCTGGGTTCTCGTCATAATGTCTCGACTCTCTCATTCTATCCAGTCATCGATGTACCTTGACGATATCAGTGCTGTTCTGAACCTCCTAGGCATGGGTAGCAAGGAAGGCCTAGATCTGGTCAAAAGTATCATGTCAATCGACATTCTGGATGGCTATCTACCCTTCCTCCCAGCGCTAGAGACCTCGGGTTCATAACCATAATTATCGCACTTTAGCCACCTACAATTCCACCACTGACGGAAATGACCTGTCCGGAGATCCAGCGACTCTTTTCTGAGCACAACAACAGTACTGCATCCGCAATATCCTGCACAGTTCCCAGTCGCTCCTCGACTCGGCTCATGGGCACCAATCTCTTGTTGATCTTTTCTGCCACCTGCGGCGGCAGACCATCTGTATCCACCGGACCTGGGGAAACAGTGTTGATGGTTATGCCACCATGATTGCGACCAAGCTATGCACCAATTAGTACATTTCTTATGTGAGATCTCAACCACGGTTTCAGCTTACCTCCATCGCAAGGGAGAACGTCAGCGCATCCATCGCCGCCTTTGAAGCACTATAGACTGGCGATCCTGAGATACCCAACTTGGACGCCACCGAACCGATGTTAATGACCCGACTTCGTGGCGGCATGTGCTTCACTGCTTCCTGCATGACGTAGATTGGACCAAAGACGTTGACGGCGAAGGTGGTCGCTAGAGCTTCGGGGGCAGCGCTGAGTACCGGTCCCGGAGTGCCAGTAGCGGCGTTGTTGACTGGTCCAAGTTAGCAAGCGTCAGAGCCTGGGAGGTGGAGATTTTCGTGGACAAACCTAGGATATCAAGCCTTCCAAAGGCATCAACCGCTTTTTGAACAAGTTTCTGCGCTCCGTCAGGCCGGGAGATGTCAGCCTGGATGGCTAGGGCCTGTCCGCCCGCGGCGGTGATGCTCTCCACCACGGTGGCAGCGGAAGGAGCCGTGGACAGCGAGACATAGTTGAGAATGACCGCTGCACCATGATGAGCTAGAAGATTGGCAATGGCCGCGCCGATGCCTCTCGCTTTGCCTGATCCAGTAACAAGAGCTACTTTGCCTTGAAGACTAAGAGAGGAATCGGATTGGGGCATTGTGAATGAGCGATGATGTTGGGGATAATGGGAATCAGAAATCTGAGGGATCAAGGTGCCTTTTATGTCTTGCCAGCGGATATTTACGAGAAGGGAACAATGTAGAAGTGAGAGATTTTCCTGCCCTCCAGCATGGTGACATTCGCCGCCAGAATCCTGGAGGCTATACACGATTTCCCGATTTGGCAAACGGTCCCTGGCCCCTGCAGCTCACTCTGGCACTAAGCTGGATGCAGTTAGTGCTGATAAGTGGATATATTATAATAGTGATCATTGGTTGGAAGCTGTTGTCATTACTCCTATTCCTATTCTGGCTTAGCATCGCTCTGTTGAGAAGCTGGAGAGAGGAGTCGGCAGAGGGCATCTTAGATTCATTCTGACACTAGATATGATACAACAAATATCTCCTACATACCAGTTGACCGAGGATCACAGCTGAATCATTCAGTTGCTGTCACGATTGTCCGCGACTGCTGCGTCTGGTATCCGGTCGTGTCGAACTCCACGCTACCATTACTGCTTTGGCTCAGGCTGCTACTCTTCCGCAACTCCTCGGGCTCATTTGTGACGTGGAACTGGCGATGCTCCCAAATCTCCAACGGCTGCTCTCGAGTAATGTACTCGCCAGATTCGGTTGGGTCGATCGTAGACCGGCCCTGGGACTTATCGCCGGCGCGGAAGCGGGATAAATGGATGGTCGAGCTGTCCAAGCGACTTGTGTATTTTCCGTGGCTGCGGTCGTATGACGAATGGGCCAGGAACGCCCGCCAATTGAACAGTCGGCGAAATAAAGTCCAGGTTTGAGGAATGTTGGCCACGATCACTGCTGTGGCAGCCTCGCGGATGTACCAGTCCACCCATTGGTCGCCATATGGATTAGACAGGGAGTAGTACTTGGACAGAATTGAGCACAGAATCACAAAAGCACCCAGCGAGAAGACTGCGCAAAGCGTGACCTTCTTGGCCAAAGTAAGTTTCGCCTTTACCAGCAGGGGTAGCGGAATGGCCATGATCATCAGGTCAGTTAAGATATTCAGTGTGAGTACCAAAATCAAGTGATTGCGATAGACGGAACACTGGAGGTTCTTCGGCGGCACGGACCAATATGCGGAAAAGGGACGACACCAGGCGGCAAAGAATAAGATCTCCACAATGACGAAACTAAGGGCACAGAAGGCACCGATGATCTTCACGATCCGATGCTGCGATAGTCCGGAGCTAGAAAACAATCAGATGCTGTGTCACAGATTTCACGCAAGGCAAACCCACGTCATGGTTGAATACAGCAGCAGCAGGCAAGCCTTGCAACCCCAAATGGTGGCTAGCCACATCTGCTCCACCACAATGACCAGCTTGCTACCTGTGATACGGTCTGGGATGGAGGAGGGCTCGATGTCACCGAATTGTTCTCTGGGGATCTCGTTGGTGCCATGCTTTTGCACTTCAATCAAGAACACGGTCAGCAAGATGTAGAAGACCTGTTATGGCTGTGAGTCATGGGGCCGTTATTTGGATGATAACTTAAAGGTCAAGCGTACAACAGTAAAGCACATCAACAAATCCTCGAGTTGAAGATGGCGGGGCACTCCCATCTGCAACGTTCGGGAGACATAGCGCAGTAGGGCTGTCACGATAGGCGATCAGCACTGATCAGCATCCTGTCACGCCGTTTTCCCCGACGATCACTTACTGACTAGCAGCACCACCGCTAACCACACCCAGGTGTTGGCGCTCGACACCATGTTCTGAAAAGACAAAAAAGTTGATTTTTTCAGAGAAGTACCGGGTGTGATCTGTTAGGCTGATGGCGTAGTAGAAGGCACCCCAGGTGCCTGGCTCCTTTTAGCTGTTACAGCTTCTGCTGACACTTGCTAGAGCCAACAAGAAGACAGCTAATAGCACGCCGGCCGATTGTATAGCCTCTCAACCGGAGATGGGAGCTTCCATTGCGTGTTAAGGGGACGTAGACAACAACCGGGAGCTGTGTCTTGTAAGTACTGCTTTACGAGCTCCTATGCCGCTCGTGACAATAAAACCTCCGATTCCCCGAAGCAGCCTTGAAGCCCAGTGGGCCCACCTAATTCTCAAAGGGGTTATTTCGCGCGTGCATACGATTGCTGGAAGTCCTTCCCTCGAGGTTCCATCCGTGCTTCCATGTTTGAGGCGCCCGTGGCTCCGGGGCCGATCGCGGCAATCAAATAAGTCAAGGGAGAGTGAGACTCTACTGGTGTAACTGCCTTATTGTCGATGTCGTTCTCGGGATGTTTTCTACTGAAAGGATAGCCTTTTCTAAAGTTGATCTGCTGATTGGAATGTCGCCTTCTACTGAGTCTTTCCCCTGCGCAGCTGAATATTACAAGGGGTAAGGGTGTAGCTGCGCGGATAATTCTCATGGCCAAGGAAAGCGGCGTATTGACACACTCGTGTTAATAAGCCCACTCTGGAACGGCCCAGTTTGTAGTACCGTTCCAAAGGCATGGGAATCAAGATCGGAGCGGGAAACTTTGAGGTGAAAATTCTGTCAACCCGTCCACCAGTTCAGGACACGCGCGGGTTCCTATGACTGCTGAGGGTGAAAGAGTTGTTACTATGATCATTGTATGCGGCCCAGAAAATGTTCAGATAAGTCGCATGGGTTGGAAAAGTGGCTTGAATGCAGCGACAGTGTAGAGCGCTGCTGCTTGGTTTTTCGAGCTCGTGTAGTGAACCCGAATAGTGTCACTTCGGGCACTGTCCGGTGGCTGATTCCAGGGCAGAAACTGGACCAGCCGGCCGAACGGGCCAACTGATACGATCCAAGGTCTCAGCCGAAAATCTTATCTCTAACCAGTCAGCGGTAGGACGTCTCAGGAATAGAAATTACCTGCTGTCGCCGTTCCATGGGTCACTACCGCGCTCATTCCGACCTCGTTCACGGGAGGCACCACAACCTCAATGGCCTGTCCACAGACTGGTGGAATCTCCAGCGAAGAGCAACTCCCGTAGCAAATGTGAGAAAAATTACCTCCACCAATGTCCAAAAATCCAGATGCTATTGACGTGGTTGGTCCGTTCGGCACAATGGACAGACAACTTTTCTGGGCAGACTTGTGGCGTATCGACTGCGCTATGAATGTTACCATTTGTGTGAGTGTGGTATGTCAACCCTGAAGTCCCTGGGGGGTTGAAACTCCCACTAATCACAGGCAATATAGACAAACAGGATTCAAGTATAATGCCAGCTTTGTACTCCTCTTTCTAGGCCGTAGCCGGATACTGGGGAAATTGAACTCGAAGCGCTCCTCGAATTTACACCATAATCACTCTATTTCTCACAAGACATAGGAACGCATACTTTATATGTACTGACGCTGTCATACCAAGGTTGGCCTGCCAAGATTGATCTCTAAGCATGTTCTCATCAATGCCATTATATCCGGATTGGTATTCCTTGTGATCGATGTAGCATCAGACATCTATCATAGAATGGACCTCCAACTGGTCAAGGTCGTATCTCGGTCCAGTTCACCTGATAGTAAAGCCACCGTCTACGCGAATGTCCGCTCCATTGATCATCCCACTTGAGTCCTGTTTTACGAATCAGAATAAACCGGAAACACTCCTCAGTCAGTGGGTCAGCTGCGTACCTGACAAAGAAACAAAACCGCATCCGCAACCTCATCTGGCTGCGCAAACTTGCCTGTCGGGATCGTCTTCAAGAAAGCCTCCCGCACATCATCCTGCCCCCAGGCCTTCTGTCCCAGAGCGGTCCAGGCCACTGTGGGAGACACGCTGTTCGCCGTTATACCACGGCCTCCCCATTCAGAAGCCATACTGCGCGTTAGCCCCAACAGGGCTGCCTTGGAGGCACAATAGGCCCCGTGGCGATGGAGGGCCACATGTGCGGCTTGCGAGGCCAGGTTGACGATGCGACCCGGAGGCGGCGGGTTGGGTGATGAATGAGCCACCTCAGCGGCGGCCAAGTACAATCGCGCGAATGCCTGCGAGCACAGCATGGGGCCCAGGACATTGGTATGCAGATGCTTCAGCGTTTCTTCCGGCGGGGTGAGCTCTAGATCACTGAGCGATACATAGCCCGCCGTATTAACTAGGATACTGGGGAAGGCGCGGGCAGACTGCGTCGTCGATGATGGGTTGAGAACGTCCTCCTTCAGGGTGGCGAAGACGGACTGGACAGCCTCGGGGTTTGTGATGTCGCATTCATACGTTCGGATTTCCTCGCCCGCGGGCAGCTCGCCGTAGCCAGCCTCTAGCAGCTCATCGCGTCGGGCAGCCTCGAAGGGGGCATACAGAATAGCTAGCCGAGCACCTTGTTGGCGGAGCTTCTTGCCGATACTCGAGCCCAGGCCGCCTTATCGGGGACAGGCAGTCAATACCCAGCACGGGAATGTAACGAGGGTTGAGGCAATGCCTACCTAGGCCACCGGGGAGGATGGCGAGCCGACGCGCAAAGGCCATACTGTTGTTGCGCCAATGGTGGAGCAGTCAGGAAGTATATAGGAAGCCAACAAGAACCTGGGGTGAGGATGCACTGACAACAACGGTTCAGATGGTTCCTGAGACGCGTGGAATCTCCCCGCACCGGCAAACCAGGGATGTGACGTCATATTGCATGTGCGTAGTTGACATGGCGACGAAGGATCTGGATGGATTCAGTATGCCGGTTGAACTGCATGACTCTTGAATCGGACACCACACAGTTGATGTGAAGCCGGGGAAGTTTCTATTTCCCGTGTTAAAATCCTTCTGTGGAGAAAGACCCAGCCGGGAATGTGAGATGCCCCCACGGTTTTAGAACCACCAGGCTGTGCTCGTGCACAACCTGGAACAGAGACGTGCGGAAACTAGGTTTGCAAACATTGAACGACCGGACCACGCTTGAAGAGCGAAATGACAAGGCCCGCTGGCGAGGACAGGGGAAAGTTGGGACTCACACCAGGCCGGTGCCTCCTATCTGCCAGCAAGGAGAGACTACTCTCATTTACTAGACTGGCACCTACACGAACCGGGGACCTATTCAACGACGCAGTTACACGCTGCATTTAGTAGGTTAGAGGCATCCCCGGGATTGCTACTCTCCCGGAGATTGCAGACCAGTAGGCTGGTGGAAGGGGGAGGTGTGAGGTGCCTTGATCCCCAGTATCGGGGAACTGAGACGAGCAATAGGTCTATGTGGATCTAAGTCTATGCGCATCGCGTGAAAAAACGAAGAGCTGCCTACACCATCGTGCCTTGTCATGAGCGAGAGGCCAGAGGGGTTCTCGCCAGTCACGATCTGCCCTCCACGATCTTAAGCACATCTTCTAATGTCTCCGCAGTGTGATCCGGTTGTAGCCGTTGGCACTCCTCAACGTCGCCCTGACCGTACCGACACCAGCACACCTGTGCTCCAATGTTTCTTGCGTATAGGATGTCCGTCAATGTGTCTCCAACCATCAGCACGCGCTCCGCCTCCACAGCATCGGGTGCCCCGAGAGCCTTCCAGTTCGGCCAGAGCACGTCTGTGAAGCTGGACGGATCCGGCTTACGCTGGACGCCGGCCACACCATGACCCAGGATGAGGGAATCTGGAAAGAACTGCAGCAGGTCGGTCTTCTCCAGGGCCGCCTTCACTGCGACCGCAGCTTTGTTGCTGATGATGGCCATGGGTTGATTCCGGTCGTGCAAGGCTTGTAGGACGTCGCGAGCGGCGGGATAGGGACTCGTACGGGATTGGCCATGGATAGCATACAGCTCGCGGTAGGTGGGGATCCAGAGAGACTCGTCGAAGGTGGTGGGATCGGGGTGTAGACTGCGAAAGGTGTCCCCGGGAGGCGCGCCGGTGGAGACGAGCGGGCGAATGTCGCTGGACGAAGGTGGAGGATGGGAGGGCAGGAGGCGTTGGAAGGTCAACTGGATGGAGTGCTCGATGGCATCGTAGGTGTCGAACAGGGTGCCGTCAAAGTCAAAGATGACGAGCTGGTACGGCATAATGATCGTTGCTGCTGGTGGTGTTTTATTCTAAGTTGAGTATGTTCTGCGAAGATCCAATTTCAACTTCTTTTTCTTCTTTTTGACTCATTCCCCCATATTGCACCAGCCACCTCCGCCACTCTTGGAGGTGGCGCAGAAAGTATCAGCCACACCTGGTCTACCAAGTGCCAACACGGTAGAGGTGTTTTCATTTATAAATGTGGTTTTCTTTGCCTTTCCTCCCATCAAGATATTCTAGGTAGAAGAACAAAACCTAGGTGTTTTTTCGGGATCGATGCCCAATTCAGCGAGCGAATAGCGTGGCCCTGTTTGTCCCTCAGTCCAACAGTTACTAATATATAATCTCAGCCAGTAGCTGCCCACCCAATAGTCGTATTAAGAAATAGAGATACACATCTCGTTCATCTTCAACATTAGAAATAGGGCGGAATCGAAGTATTCCCATCATGATGCGACTACCATCAATCAAGCTACATTGGAATGAAAATATATAAAAATATCTCTATATACGCCTTGTGGTCGGGAAGAATGTCGATTTCGGACCCGGAATATACAACTCCAGTACCATCTACTTGTTTTAACCACTACCAACCGACAGATCTCAACAGATCAGTTGGAGTCTGCATTAATCCCCTGAAGTTGCTAGCTGGCTACTGAGTTGTTCGACCTCATTTTGTTCATCAAGACTTCGATTCCAGTGGAAGTGGACTCGCCGCCTTCCATGCTTCATTTGTCGACCATATAATGACTGTACCACCTACCTAAAGTGATAGCCTGAAGTAGAATATTCATCCTACCCTTGAACAGCAAGTCTAGAACGGCCATAGACTCTCCTACCAGGCAACGATGAGATAAGCCAAAAGGAACGAAGTCGCCGAATTGATTGCAGATTCGGCGACGGCGCCCCACCATGCAGCCTGCAGCCTTCCATCCTTCCCGGCACTATATAGGGTTGGCCTTGATGGATCAAAGCCACAGAAAATCTACCAAGTCCTCAGACAAGCAAACACAGACTTTCATTCCTTCTGAATCTCCAACACGCTTCCTCCGAGCAAAACGGCAAAGACCATGCAGCCCATCACTCTCTACTCGCACCCCATCGGGCCTAATCCGTGGAAGGTCGCCATCATCCTCTCCGCTCTGCGCATCCCCTACGAAACGATCATGGTTGACTTCACCGAGGTGAAAAAGGAGCCCTACGTGAGCCTCTGTCCCAATGGACGGCTGCCAACCATCGTGGATCCCAACAAGAACATCACCCTGTGGGAGTCAGGCGCCATTGTGAACTACCTAATTGAGACCTATGATCCGAGCCACCAGCTGAGCTATGACACGTTTCCCGAACGCCACCAGCTGCAGCAGTGGCTGCATTTCCAAGTGTCCGGGCAGGGGCCGTATTACGGACAGCTAGGCTGGTTCCGGCGGCAGCCCGAGCAGGTGCCCCAGGCCATCGAACGCTACACGGCGGAAATTCGACGCGTGATGAGCGTGCTGGACCGGGTGTTGACGGACCGCGAATGGCTTGTGGGAGACAAGTGCACGTATGCAGACCTCTCCTTTGTTCCTTGGCAGGATCTGGTGCCATTGGTGGTCGGGGACCAGCGCGTGGTGCAGGAATTGACCGAGCAATTTCCCCACGTGGAGGCGTGGATGCAGAGAATGAAGGCGAGACCAGAGGTACAGAAAGTGCTGAAGGAGAAGAGCGAGGCGATGGCATCGAATTAGGGACAGCATGTAAATACATGGGTCGGATAGATAGAGACCATCTCATGGGTCTACGATTTTAGACTCGCCGAAATAGTGGATCCTTCCCCGGGCCCGTCCCGATAGACAGGCGCCGATTGCACCCGTCACACCAGGGCATCAACTCTTGGAAATAGCTGAAGTTAGAAGGATAGTGTTCCAATTTCACGCCGAACTGGCAATAAATCAAGCAGCTCAGGAGAGTGTCGACGAAGCATTTCCACATCCTAAGTACCGGACCACGCGAACGTGGAACAATCCCGGGGGGAAGCGGTTTCAAACAGCGTCGGCGAACTAAAGATCATGTCCTCACAGAGCATATCACCTAGACATGCATTGAGATTAATGATAGTCGATGGGAGCCCCACCGAAAGCATCCGATCTTGCCGGACTATGTCTTTTATATAAAGCGACCGAGTATCGGTTTGCTTAAGATGATGAAGCAGATCAAATGCGACCGTCATAGCCATCATGCGATCCAGTAGCTCGGACAGCAGTGAACCCAAGACGGTCGCTCTACCCTCATCGTCACTGCCCCTATGGGAGGATGATCCTGCTAATGCTCAGAACTGGAGTCGTTCCAAAAAGATTTACAATACTGCTGTGCCGTCGCTTCTTTGTCTGTTGATGTGAGTTCACACACGCGGAAATGGAGACGCCTTCCATAGACGACTGATACTAATCATAACATTGCAATGCAATGTTGATAGATCGTTCGCGCTGGCTATCTACTCTCCTTCCCACAGCCATGTTCAAGAAGCCTTCCACACCTCGACTACCAAATCTCTAGTGCCCTTCGCTATGTACGTCTATGGCCTGGCCTTCGGGCCCATGATTGCAGCTCCCATCAGTGAGACCTACGGTCGTCGCTTCATCTACCTCGTCATGACCCCCATTGCTATGCTCTTCATCCTCGGGGCGGGCTTCGCTCACAACCTCGCCACTCTCGCTGTGTGTCGCTTACTGGCGGGGATGTTCATCTCAGCGCCCTTGGCCGTTGGGGCGGGCACAATCATGGACGTCTGGAGTGGACAAGCTACCGGGCGCGGTGTCACCCTACTCATGACCACTGCCTTCCTTGGCCCGGCCATTGGATCACTAATTGGGGGCTGGATCGCTCAGTACAAGGATTGGCGCTGGTCGCAGTGGACATCGCTATTCCTCGGGGCAGCCTTCTGGATCTTCAGCATGGGGGCCCAGGAGTCCTATGCCCAGCCCCTGATCCGTCGCCGTGCTGCTAAACTAGGACTCCCAGTTCCCCCCAACCCAATTCCACCGGGCTGGGCTGGGTTCCAGATGATGCTCACGGTGACTTTGGCACGACCAGTGTATATGATCTTCACCGAGCCGATTGTGAGTCTGTGCTCGATGTATTCGTCCCTCAACTTCTCTGTCTTGTTCTGTTTTCTCGCCTGTGTTCCGCTCGTTTACACCGATGTGTACGGCTTCACCTCGGGCCAATGCGGACTGGTTTTTATTGCGTTGGCCCTGGGTTGTCTGCTTGGAAGTGTCGGGCTGTTGGTGGCGGACCACTATACATTGGCGCGGCATATCCGGCTTCATCCGGGAGGAGGGATAGCCCCGCCCCCAGAGCGCGTCTTGTGGGCTGCCATGATTGGCGGTCCGTTGATGCCAGCTGCTCTGTTTTGGTTTGCCTGGACCTCGACCAGTCATGTGCACTGGATGAGCAGCATCGTCGCGATCGGTCTTTTCGGCTGCTCTAACATTATGGTATTCGTGAGTTGGCAGGTCGTCTCACTCGACATTGAAATCCGAACGCTGACCCTATTGTCTGCCGCAAGGTATCTACTGCCCTCTACCTCACCCGGGTGTATGGTGCCAAGTTCGGAGCTTCTGCGCTGGCCGCCAATGGCTTACTGAGATACGGCATTGGCGGCTCATTTCCTCTTTTTACGGTAGCCAGTAAGTCACTCGTATAATTCCCCTTCCTAGTCAGCCACTAAAAATGGTCACGCCTCTAGTGTATCACAACTTGGGCTATAGCTGGGCATCTAGCTTATTGGGGTTCTTGGCCGCTGCTTTTGCGCCTCTGCCCTGGTTGTTCTTCCGTCTAGGAAGTCGCATACGTGCGCATAGCGCTTACACTTCGACCTGAATCATGCGAGTGAGGGAATTTGTATAGAAGAGCTGTGAAGCCCTGTTCGACAAATCTGTGTGAGACTCCTGGCCTTTTGGAAGGGATCTAAGTTATTTGAAATCAAATCATTGATCCTGTAGTATTGAAGATAAACTGATATATTCGGCATTTTCTGAATTTTAACATCTTAAACCTTTATTTGAGTGGCTCGCTCCTTACTATGCCAGTATATTGACGCGAGATTGTATGCCTCAATAATCTTCTGCCTGATACAACGTAGCTACTATATCTATGAGACCCACTTCATCCCCACTATCGTGATGAACCCTCGATTCAAATGCATTCATCCACTGACGCTTTGTCATCCACAGCTTTGTCTAAACCGGATGCACTGCTGTGGCACTGATACGTTTTGAACTCTCGCACGGGCACTCGCGCCATAAACATCTCGTCAATCTCCTCCAACGAACGCCGTTTTGTTTCCGGTACAAACATCCAGACAAACGCTGCCGCGACGATGGACAGTGCGCCGTATATGAAGGCTACCTTACCCCCAATAGCAGCCTGAGTGTAGGGATTCACAAAGACGATAACCAGACCGGTGCCGTATGCCGAAAATCCCGCCAGCGTAACCATCTTCTCGCGGACAGCGGTCCCTGTGGGTGGAATTTCGGCGGTGATTGCCCAGGCCAACGGGCCCCATGTGCTCTGAAAGGTAAAGAACCAAAGCATGAGCATGACTACCACAGCGATGGAGAGGGAGGATGAGGATGTGGAAGGGGTGGTGAGGCCGCCAATGGTTAGCATACAGGCACCGAGGAGGCCAGATGCCGGGAGGAGCACGTTGCGACGACCCAGCCGGTCAGCCATGAACATTCCCGTCAAATTGCCGATTATGCCGATGATATAGACAATCACCGACATCAACAAAACCTGGCGGAAACCGACTTGTTCCAGAGAAACGGCCTGATAGTTGGCCACGAAGGAGATTCCCTGGGCTTGCTGGAAGATCTGTGCGCCCACAGCAATGAGAGTGCGACGGAAGTAGACGGGATCTGTCAAGCAAGCCATCCAGGATGCGAGCTCCTTCTCTTGTTGTTGTTGGTGTTGCTGCAGGACGAGTTGTTCTTCGATGGAAAGGATTTCGGCCTCAGCGGCAGCGGCGTCCAAAGCATGCAGCCGGCGCAGGCTGGCGATGGCGGCAGCACGACGGCCACGACGGAGTAGCCAGTAGGGTGATTCAGGAAGGAAGGGCAGGCTCAGCCATCCCATGGCGGGAATAGCTACTTGCGCCACCACAACACTGCGCCAGGCCCAGTCGCTCGGCACATGACGACAGAGGTAGACGATAAGGGCGGCACAAAAGCCGCCTACCATTAGGAAGGCATTGTATAGACTCGTCATCATTCCTCGGATGTGCTGAGGTGCGCATTCTCCTTGGTAGACCGGAATGACCGTCGACGCGATGCCACCGGCGAAGTAGACGACTGCCTTGCCCACCAGAAATTGCGCGTAGCTGTCCTGGCAGGATGCTTCAATGGCGACTCCGGCAGTCACCACCGCCGATTGCACCCAGAGGCTGTTCCGCCGTCCAAGCCGTTCGTTGAGAGGGGTTCCGCACACCAGCCCGAGGATGACTCCTACATAGCCCAGACCCGTGCCGAGGGACTGTTGTCGATTACTGAGGGACCAGGCCTGTTGAGCCGGGTCATAGGAGCCAAAGTGACGGTTAAACTGCGTCAAGCTCATCATACTTGCCCACCAGCCCTGATCGAAGCCAAAGCCCGCGGATGAGACGGACCCGACAATAGCCACGACCCAGATGAGCCAGGGGAAACCCCGTGAAGGGTTGGAAGATGACATGCTTGGAAGGATAAAAGTATAAAGAGAGAGCATAGACAGGTTCCTTCGCCAGCGCAGTTCTTGATTAAGCCAGAGAATCTGCAGACTCTACTTCTATTCTACGCGAGAGGGAAACGCTACCAGCTTTAAGTCATGCCAAATACGAGCATAATCGCGCTTGGCCGACAAGCAAACTCTCAGTGCTGATTTTAGCGTTTCAACAATCATCCTTTGCCTCCATAGGGGCTTACTGGAAGGGAATATTGGGTGCCTGGTAATGACCAGAGTCGGAGCAACTTGATACCTCGTTGGAGCTCGAAGGAAGGGTGACAATTCCCCCGCGGGGAAGGACTTCCTGAGAGGTGGGTCATGTTCGTGGCAGGCCCATGAAAAGAACCATATACCCATGCGAGGGTGGGTTCAACACGAACCTTAGTGTCACGTCCATGCCAGTCAAACCCTAACCTTTGAGCCGTGGGGGCTGAAGGCCTCATACCATGTTCCAAGTCGGGATCTTGTCCGCGAGAGGCAAACCTGTATGGCGGGCCCAGTGGACCCGGCGGACCCACTAATTCGGCGACTGATTCTCCACTATATCGCCGGGACTAATAGGGCATCACCAGTGAAGCATCTTCATACAGTAACAGATTCGGTTTGTCACACCGGAGGACTCGAGGAGGGAATCCGGACAGAAAGTCCATATTCTTCCCCGTGGGGGCGGGAGTGTAGAGTCGTAGAGATGCAAAGTGGAGTGCATGGGTGACCAGAAAAGAACAATTACCCTCTCCTTCCCCCGATCTCTGCCAACAGTATCCCCAAGATCAACCATTTCTGGGATTTCCATACCGATCTGCTGCTCAACATGCCTCAGGATGAAAGAGCATCCTCCCATGTGCGCCAACTGCTCCAGTCCCTTACGCTGGAGGAGAAAGTGGCCCTCCTGGCGGGCAAGAACATGTGGGAAACCATCAACATCGACCGCCTACACATCCCCAGCCTGAAGATGACGGACGGACCAGCCGGTGCCCGGGGCTCCAAGTGGACCTACGGCTCCTTGACCACCTGGATACCGTGCGGAATCTCCCTGGCTGCTACCTTTGATCCGGCGATGGTAGAGCAAGTTGGAAGGGTGTTGGGCCAGGAGGCACGCCGAAAGGGCTGCCAGGTCCTGTTGGCACCCACCATGAACCTATCGCGCTCGCCCCTAGGTGGTCGAAATTTCGAGAGTTACGGCGAAGATCTCTATTTGGTCGTAGTGACCGCCACGGCGATGATCCGAGGTATTCAGGCACAGGGAGTGGGCGCGTGCATGAAGCACTTTATCTTGAACGATACTGAGACGCGGTGATTCAATGTTGACCAGACCATTGATGAACGCATCTTACGCGAGGTCCACATGAAGCCGTTCGCGATGGTTCTCGACGACCCGGCTAGCACGCCTTGGACGGCCATGGTTAGCTATCCCAAGATTAACGGCCTGCACGCCGACATCAGCCCACATATTCTTCCTCGTCTACTCCGGCAAGAGCTGCAATTTGATCGTCTGGTCATGAGCGACTGGGGAGGGCTGAATAGTACAGCCGACAGCCTGCGCGCCACAACTGATCTCGAAATGCCGGGTCCAGCCGTCCGCCGCGGAGAACGCTTGCTGGCTGCCATTCGATCTGGGGAGGTCGAGGTGGCCGCGCATGTCGACCCGAGTGTCCGCCGCTTCTTGCAGCTCCTGGAGCGCACGGCCTGTTGGGAGACGCTACAGAGGCCACCGAACACTCCGAAGCTGCTACGGATGATCCCATCTTTCACCGAATCGCGCGCGATGCAGCCCAAAGTGGGCTCGTCTTGCTCAAGAATGACAAGGCCATCCTGCCTCTCAAGCCGACCACGCTGCAGCGAGTCGCCATCATTGGGCCCAACGCCCGTCAACCCACCGCGGGCGGTGCCGGCAGCGCCGCTGTCAACCCATTCTACGTCTCGACTCCGGAAGCCTGCCTGCGCGATGCCCTTCATGCGGCCAACGCAGAACTGCAGGTCTCCTACGAGCCGGGGATCACGAGCAGCCTGCGCCCGCCTTTACTGGGAAAGCTCTTGACTGTCCCCGACGGGTCCCGGAACGGCTGGCAAGTTAGCTTCTTTGAAGGTCATGCGCTGGAGGGTCCGGTGGTAGCGTCCAGTATGTGGGACGACTCGCTCCTCTATCTATTTAGTGATGGTGATGTCCCGGCCGTGTTGGACGACCGGCCATACTCCTACCGTGCCACCGGGGTGGTCACTCCGCAAGAGTCAGGTCGCTATACCTGGAGTCTGGCAAATACTGGGAAAGCCAAGCTCTTTGTTGATGACGAGTTGTTAATCGACAACACGGAGTGGACTGGTCTGACGGGCGGATTTCTGGGCTGCTCTAGCGCAGATAAGACAGCCAGCGTCTATCTGGAAGCGGGCCGCGCCTACCAGCTGCGGGTGGACAACGTGGTCACGCTGCCAGTGATAGAGGCATTTGACAACACGCTATTCCCGCGGATCTCCGGGATGCGAGTTGGCCTGGCCTTGGAGCAGGACGAGCAGGAAATGCTGGCGCAGGCCGTGGCGGCCGCCCGGCGGGCCGATGTGGCGGTGGTGGTGGTGGGCCACAACAAGGATTCGGAGGGCGAAGGAGGCGACCGCACAACGATGCAGCTTCCCGGTCGCACGGACGAGATGGTCGGCGCTGTCTGTGCCGCTAATCCCAACACCGTCGTGATTGTGTAGTCGGCCAGCGCCGTGGCCATGCCGTGGGTCGATGCTGCCTCGGGGCTGGTGATGGCCTGGTATCAGCATGCTTTGGCAGCCGCTCTGCTCGGCGACTGCGACTTCAGCGGTCGACTCCCCATTACCTTCCCTCGACGGCTCGAAGACCATGGCTCCAACGCCTGGTTCCCGGGAGAGGCTGCGCAGGACCGAGGTGGTCCAGGTATATGTAGCGCCATCAGCCCAGATCCGGGAGGCTGGGGAAATGAGCTTCCCCAAGACTCTGGCGGGCTTCTGTAAAATTGCTGTACCAGCAGGAGTGTCGCGAGAAGTGTCGATCCCCATCCGGGGGTCGGAGCTGAGCTGGTACGATACTCGGGTGGCGCAGTGGCGATTGGATGCGGGCAAGTATGCCTGCTGGGTTGGTCGAAGTAGTAGCCAGATTGATGCGGAATTGAAGATTGAGGTGGCAGAGGGAGACGACACAGACATGGGACACTAGAGTAGTTATAGTTATCCGAAGTTAGAGTGAATGACAGGTATCTTACATCAACTGGAAAAATGGCCCTTGTAGACAAGATGAATGTCTACCATTGGGTCAGCAGTGCTTGGAAGAATGAATGTCCGGCAGTCTTGGACTACTTAAGCGGTTGCTAAACGCGAACTACGCTAGTTCAACTAGTACTAATAGGCGGCATAGTAAGACCTGGTTCCCCCGTCCACAATCCCTCATCACTCTTTCTATCTAACATACAACCTCTACTACCAAAACCATAGCGTCGCTCTCATAGCATCTTGTCACCATCTATGAATCTTACCGCCCCCGTGGCCTGCTTGGGCTGCCGAGAAAAGCATCTCAAATGTGACGGCAATCTGACCGGCTGTGCTCGCTGCCAGTCCTTGGGGCTCACCTGCCGCTTCGTGCCCTCCCGTCGTGGTCGCAAGTGTCGCCCAGCAGCACCAGCAGCAGTTCCCCACGACACCACCAGTCTGCCCACTCCCAACTCCAACTCCAATTCAATACCGGTGGATCCCATCTCCTTCTCAACAGGTCCCTTCGGGCAATGCCACACCATGGAATACCCGCAGCATGCGGGCTCCATGCCTTGCGATCAAGGGCTGCAGCTGATCTCCCTGTACTATCTCCACTTTCACCAAGCCCACCCGTTCCTGGCCCCCATGCAAGTCCTGCTCGAGTCGGAAACCCCCACGTTCCTGCTTGATATTATGGAGTTCATCAGCCTCCATTACTTGTCCCCGCAGCTGTTTCAGGATAGAAGCGAGTCCGTTGGTCTGGCCGTGCAGGCTGCGGACCTGACCATTGAAAAGGTGCAGGCCTTCCTGCTCCTCGCCATTGTGCATCACGGGCGACAGCAGGCCCCTGACGCCCGCTCATATCTGGGACAGGCCCTGCAGGGTGCACTGGACCTGGGCTTGCACCGTCGGGAGACCTCGGACGCCATCCGCGCGGATGCTCCCTTCCAGGCCGAGAGTCTGCGGCGCACCTGGTGGGAGATCGTTGTGATCGATGTGCTGCTGGCGGCTGTCCAGGTCGATGGGGTTTTGCAGTTCCACATGCAAGAAACCCCCACCACGCCTCTTCCTGGTGAGCTGGATCAGTATCAGGCTAGCGACGTCATCTCCGACCCCAACCCCTTTCCGTCCACCCTGGCGGATCTGGAACAAAACGCTCTGTTCTGCGGTGATGTGGAATTCTCCCCGGGGGCTTACCGCGTCGAGGCTGCGTTGATGCTTCGCAATTGCCTCCGAGCCGGCCAGACGCACGTCGGTGAGGAGACACTAGACATACTGAACGCGGCCAACATCGCCTGGTTCCATCGACTGCCGCCACGCCAACGGTCCATGCTTCAGCTCAACGGGGTGCAGGACGAGCTGATGACACAGGCCATGATGTTGATGCACTGCGCCACCATCTATTTGCACTTCCCACGCTCCTGTCTGCTCGCATTCCTGCCCGTCACAGGCCAGGTGATGTGCTCATCCCCGGCCTTATTCGTCACCAGTACCCTGGACCCTCAAGTGCACACCCACAGGGTTATCGAGGGGTCTGTTAGACTGTCTCAGCTAGCTGCCTTGTCCACCTCGGTTGTCAATCATACTCCTTTCTTTGCCTGCACCCTGGTCCTCAGTTCCGTTATCCAAGTTGCCGCCATGTTCAGCGAGAGTCTGCATTCCTCTAAGGCGAGCCAGAGACAATACCTAGCTCTCAACCTTGCCGTTCTAAAGTCTATGGGACAAACCTGGCCCATTGCTGCTGCTGCCTCACAACGAGTGCGTCAAGCCATGACCGAAGTCCACAATGCGATCCCACGAGCTGCCAACCTGTTGCTTGGGGAAGTCACCCCTCCTCCCTAATACACCGGCGTACATTCGGTGAAGAGTGTCGTTGCCAAGCTTGTAACACCCGTTTGCTTCCATATAGAAGGTGGATGACCCTGCTGTCGCTGTGCGTGCATCGAACCGCGCTTCTTGTGATGCTCTTGAGCACTGCTTATGTTCTACGCATATGCGAATATAAATAGGCGGCCTGAGCATTGTCAAGAACTAATCGATCATCAGCTCTACGTGCACTCATCGCGGCGCAGTTGTCTCCGGAGTCACTCGACCCCTGCCCCATGGGTAAAGCTTCCCCAACCGGCACAGGCCGCACCTGTGAGCTCATTTACGAAAGCCCGAAGCATCGGGGCTTCCGCGGAGTCTGAACTGTGCTACGCAGGAGTAGACGGGGATCGGCGAGAAAAGCCAAGGCGGGGTTCCCAATGGATGGATGTGGAATGAAGCAGATGAGAGTGAACATGTGTGTCTGGGCTTACACTGTCAACCAAAAAAGTCTTTCCAAGGATCTTGGCGTTGCCGTCACACGGACGCGCCGACACTACGATTAAGTACTCCCCGAACGGCAGAAGCCTGTCTTTCACGAATAAAAATGTGCGAATGAATATATATTTGCCGAGCAGGTGAGATTATGTTAATACGACAGAATCGCCAGATGAAGGGCGCCGCACATCTAACAGCCCATTCATTGTTGCGAATTTGCTAGACATTCGAGACCGACAAACCTTCCGTTGCTCATAGAAGGTAGGAGATGGGGGCGAATAATATCAATACTATCAGAGCGATGCGTATGGATTCTAGCGTCACAGACTAATTCTTTATCCGACCAAGCGTTTAGTTAAAAGTATGGGACAAAGACGGGCGTACAGAGAGAATGGCATACAGCCAAACAGACGTCGTGAAAGCAACCGAGTGATCCGGATCCGACAGGGTATCTTACCGTACAATCCAGGCACACATATGCCCCGTGGAATAAGATGGGGATCGTCTTCGACAGCATGCGGGATCCTTCTTCGGCTCCACTGCAGATCCGCATCAGACCCTGAGTTGGAAGCTTGATACTCGGTGCCCGCGCGCTCCGCTGCGGCAAATCCCTCAAAGGTGTTGGGCAATCGGACTTATGATGATTCTGTGTATAGCTCTGTGTTCGGAACTGTATTATGGATATGTCCATAAAGAATATATAAAACTTCATATAGACAGTACGTGATTCAGGGGGATTTCCTTGACTACGGAACTCATCATCCTGTTCGAAGAATACTTGGACCCGGCAAATGGTATAATCACACGCCTTTTTATGAAAGGCGTCGGTCGAAGAGGGTAGTATGGAAAGGTTTTGAGTGCTAGTCAGACACAGAGGGGTAAGTGCTAAGGCTACTGCCATCGGCGATCCTTTGAAGTGGGCTCTGTTTCTCCATGTCAGTGCGTTTCGGGATGTAGAGGAATCTGCATGCAGCTGACCATGGAAAGGCCTTATGGAGGAATATACATCGTTTAAAGCTAAAGAATCAAGGCTCATCCATCTGTTGGTAAAATGCTAGCCCGAGCCTTTACGGTTCATACACCCTGTAGCGACGATGGGGAGCAAAAGTGTCTCATGTAGAGAGCCTCTGTGGTCTTCCACAAACATACACGAGAAGCTTCCGAGTTGTGACCATTGCGGGAATTAGAATCAGCTATAAAATCGCGATGGAGGATAAATAGGTACCCCATGCCCCGCTTAGGATGAGCATCTTAATCATCCTCATCCTCATCAACCACCTCTCAGTTCATTGCGTCTCTGGGGTAACCTCACTCAGACCACTGTAAGAATAGTCAAGCTACTTCCTACCTTCGTGTTTCAAGCTGTCTTTGCTCTCGCAGCAGCGGAGTACCTCAATTGGACCACATACAGCGCCAACGGGGTGAATCTGGGCGGGTGGCTTGAGCAAGAAAGTACCATCGATACTACTTGGTGGGCAAATATTCCAAGGTGCGGACGATGAATGGGGCCTCTGTGTAAACCAGGGTCCGCAGTGCGGTCCTATCCTAGAGCGAAGATATGCGACCTATATCACAACCTCGGATATCGACAATCTGGCAAACGCCGGCGTGATTTGTTTGCGCATCCCCACTACGTATGCCTCTTGGGTCAAAGCGCCCGGGTCACAATTGTATGCAGGGAACAGGGTTATGTTTCGTTTCTGAACAACATTGCGACATATGCTATCACCAAGCATTACATGCAACTCATCATTGGTGTACCCTCGTTCCCCGGTGGAGGGAATGGTATGGCATTTGAAGAGGCAACAGGATAGTATGGATGGTCCAACAACTGTGGCCCGTCGAACCTTTATCATTCTGCATAAGAATTATCTCACTATTAATTTTAGCACGATGTTTGTTACGGTGGACTTCTCATATGCTTGAGATTTTGAGCCAGCTTGTTGCGCACACTGTACAGGCTTCATAGTGGGATAATTAGCAAACAATGCTACAGGTGTATATCCTGCAGCAAATTCCTAACTGTTATGGTGTCCCCGTGTCTGGTGTAGTCCATGATAAACGAGGAAATAGTAGTTTACTGGTCTGAAAAACACATATCACTGGGCTTGGCCAACAGATGTTCGATGGTAAAGGGCCATAATACACTCATGAGATCTTCTCCGCAAGTTGAGGGGTGCATTTTGATGACACAAAGTGTATAGAAGCGCCAACTAGTGGCCCAATTTATCAATGATATGTTGCTGAACCTTGCCGTTCTTCTGTCTAGCACATTGTCTCCCAGCAGACGTGGTGTCGTGTACTCTTAGGTTGTAGGTCCCTATTTGTTGTTTGTCCGGCGCTTGATACTCCAATAAGCTCTCGATTCTCAACTCTTTATCCCCGCAGCACCGATTGGACCCGAAGATACCCGATTATCGGTGCCGGATGCCAAACCAAAGTTTTTGGAAACGCATCGACAAACCCATTGCTGTTGTGTCGTTATTGCCTCCGACTCCCACCTCAACAACTATGGACTGGGATCATCTTGCTGAGGAGCATAATGACAAGTTGTTTGCTGGTTGGCTACAATTGCTTTCCCAGCAGTCCCCTGCCTTGCCGTCGAGACTCGCAACCCAGCATCGTCGTGGCACTGCACGGGTAGCTGATGTCTCACAGTTTACCACGGGCGCTTACAATATTTGCTGCATTGTTACCTTTGAGGATGGATTCCGTGCACTTGTTCGGTTCCCAATCCTGGGTAGAAGCCGCTTTCGGACGGAAAAGAGTAGAAACGAGGCTTCAGTCATGAAATTCCTATCTCAGAATACTGCGCTCCCTGTCCCCCGCATTCTTGGGATGGGTCGATGGGGATGCGGCCCTTACCTTGTCATAACTTTCATTGAGGGGATGTTGTTGTCCAATCGCCTTGGGGACCCAGCAATCCAGTCGCCCAGCTTAAATCCAAATGTTTCCGACTCCGACATTCAAAGTGCCTATCGCGTGATGGCGCAAGTCATCTTGGAATTGTCTAAACCAATCTTTTCGTCTATTGGAGCTCTGCAAGAGGGATTCCAGATGTGGAAAGTAGCTCAAAGGCCACTAACACTCAATATGAACGAACTGGTGCGCGTTGGAAATCTTCCTCCTGGCATATTTGCCGAAGGGACATTCAGTACCGCGGGCGATTATTTCGAGGAACTCGCGAGACAGCAGCTTCTCCACCTTCAATACCAACGGAACGATGCTGTTGATGATGAGCAAGATTGTCGGAAGAAATACATAGCCCGCTGCCTTTTTAGAAAGATCGCCCGGGAGTATAATAAGCAGCAGTCGGGTCCGTTCCATCTTTACTGCGACGATTTGCGTCCGTCCAATGTACTTGTTGCAGAACAAGACTTCTCACTCACTGGTGTTATTGATTGGGAATTCACTTACGTTGCGCCTGCCGAATTCACCTATACTGCACCCTGGTGGCTCCTCTTCGAGAGCCCCGAAGCTTGGGAGTCAGACTTGCATGTCTTTCTGGCACGGTATACACCACGCTTGCATCTCTTTGTCAATGCACTCCGATCATGCGAGGACGAGATGATACGAAAGGGTGCATTAAAGGAGTATCAGCGACTTTCAGAACGCATGGCAGAGTCTTTGAATAACGGGCTTTTTTGGTTCTGCCTTGCTGCTAGGAAAAGCTACATGTTCGATGATATCTATTGGCAATTTCTTGACAAACGACATTTTGGACAGGGATCACTTGAAGATAGGCTTTCCCTTTTGTCACAGGAGGAGTTGGATGGACTCGAGATGTTTGTTTCTCTGAAGATGCAACAAGCCCGTGAGAACCGCTTGGACGAACATATGTCGATTGACAAGCTTATTGATCTTTAATGCTAATCCGACTACTAGTCTTTCAATGCATAGACTATATGTCACCAGTTATATGATTGCTATATTCTAACGTGCTTTGGACCTTCAGGACCTCGGAAAGTTCTGCTGCAAATCTACGTTTACCCACCACAATATGCGGCGCCCCAACTTCTTCAACGTCATAGAAGCTGTCATACAGACCTGTCATATAGGCTGCAACGGAAGTAAGATCCTGGTTATAGGTACTGCCATTAGGCGATGCGATTTGATACAACCTACTTTTAACACATGTTCAACATGAATAATATATGCTCTATGTAGTGATAGACTTTATACCCGCTGAGGTCCAGGAACATTGCGTAACCGTTGCTTTCACCAGCCGTTTTGAATGAGCCCTATCTATGAATGTACTACCAATATGCTGTAGGCTAATTATCTACTATATAATAAACTAGTCAATGCCGTCGTCGATGATGTGAAACGGCAGATGCTGACGGGAGACCACCCGCACCATGGAGATGTAGGAGGGTTGAGATGGGAGTAGCACCCGGGTAGAAACTCGTCGGCATGGGAGGAATAGTGAAAGGGCTCGTTGATGGCAGATCAGAGGTAAAGTCAGCTGCCATTGTTGGCGCAGCATAGGACCTGTCTTGTTGTTAGTAATTCTGGGTTGAAATGAACTACGAGGTAGTCACGTACGGGGTGGCAGTTATAGTCTGTTTGCTGGTAAAAGTCTTTAAATCTGTTGTTCCCTTTGCACTAGAGAGACAGGCCCCATCTCCATAGGCATTTTCACACAGCCAGACCACATAGCTGGTGTCGTTGGCCCAGAGGTTCACGTTTTCGATGGTAATATCGTAGCATGGGACGTCAGAGTCACACTGTAGACGGATCACCGGGCGTGAGGCGCTAGCGGATTCTCCGTGCCAGTTCTATTTATAAAAACAAATTAGAATATTGTCAGAAATCTGGAATGGGACCATGCACTTACTCGGAATGTGAGGTTGGACACTTGAACTCCTACAGAGCCTCGGTCGTCCCCCCAGGCCTCGTCTATGGCTAGCGGGTAAGGACCGCCGTGAACTATGACATTCTCCCAGATGATATTTTTAACAAGTCCATCCCCATTGTTGCTTTTCAGGAAGCACGCATCTGCTCGATTCATGTAGAGATTGCGGTAGTGAATGTCAGAAATATTGGTGCCTGTGCCTAAGGAGCCAATGGCGGTCCCACCACTTAGATTGCAGTAGATATTCTCGATCAGATAGTTGTGCGCCGGAGACTTGACAGTGACACATTCATCGCCGTTGCTCACTTCAATGTCATGGAACCACATGTTCTCTCCCCATACGTCGATGGCATCTGTCGCCCCCACTGATGTCACGCCGCGGATCAAGATGTTATATACCTCTCCACTAGAGACGGTATCAAAGACGATGTAGTAGGAGGGCGAGTCAACAAGTGCAAATCCGTGCACCGAGAAATTGCTAACCTCTTGGATGCGCAGCAGTCTCTCGCCGTAGGTCTCATTTTGCAAATATTCGTACCCAAAGCCCTGAATGGCCCCGCGGGAGTTGCCGCTGAAGAGTTCGAAGTCGTTGCAGTCACGGATCAGAATCATCTGATATGATCCGCGGTGTCCGCGCATAATTACACCGTCAAGCTGAATTGCAGAGGACTGGCCGTGCTTGAGCTCGATATCCTCGGCCAGTGAGTAGTTACCAGGTGGGATGTAGACCAGTCCCCCCACGGAGCAATTTCCCCAGGCATCGAGTAGGGGCTGCGAAATATCTGTCTTACCATCTGCGAGAGCTCCGTAATCGATAATGTTGCAGGTTTGATTCCTGGCTTTAGTGCTGTAGTCCACTAGTGGACCAACGGGACCAGACAGCTGCGCCCGTGCCAGAGTGGCCAAGAACAGGATAGATGGTAAAATTATGGCTTGCATGATGACCTCTGACCATCAAGAGACTATCATGAGCCGTGATGGTAGTCTATATATCCTCAACAAAATCCAGGATTGAGTGATGGGAGCATTCGGGAGAGCAAGTAGTACATAAGTAGACATACAATTAGGGGGCTGAAGCGCCCGCCGGTGACGATCGCACCCCAAATGTGAGGGCTTCGCGTCAAATTGATTAAGGGACGGCACTATGGGCGGGCGATGACGAACCAAGTGGAGATTGGCGGGGAAAAGCAGGTAAGCGAGCCAAAATTTGCCGATGTAGTAAATGGACCCTGCTTTCGTAGCCGTCCCTGATCACATGTGCAAGGCCTATCATGGTGTCTCGGGAGACTCTCCAGTGGAGAGGCCATAATAATGATTATTTAGTAATCATTCCTCCCACTGGCTCTAATTATAACTAGCGGACGGCAGGGGTCCTAAGTGCAGGGGTACACGGATCAGACCACTTGTCATGTCTAACAACAGTATCAAACGTCGTAATAAAATTAGAGCACAAGGCCAGTCCCTAAATGACAGGATATACGAATTAGGTCGCGAGGGATGACAAAGAAACGGCGCAGCAGCCAAGATAATACGAAAAGCTCCTCCAGCCACTGCTATGCTTTTGCTAATCCGGTCAACGCCTACCATTGTACTCCAAGTACATCTACTCTATAGTTACATCTTGTGGGAGGCTTCTTGAAGAAAGATCGCACCAACTATTAGTGTTGTTACCAATCAAGAAAACGTCATGTTTATCCTTGATCTGATGGACAGGGGGCGGGGGAAGCATAACGAATATGGAACTCATGATTGAACCTCCAAATTCGAAGATAAACCCCCGTTTATTGCAGCTGATCAAGGACTCTGGGCTTGTACCTCTTATGTACTTGGATCAATACAAAGAACCAGATGGTGCACGTAATGCGGAACGCAACTGAACCTGAGTATCTCTGTCAAACAAGTTTCTCGCTATTATCGCCAAACAATCGATTCGTAGGTTGTACAAACCGTTGTTATATAAGTGGGATTGGCATGTGTACTCCACCCGCAGGAGTACATATCTCATATAATTCTAGCAACGGGAGATTGGAGACATGTCGTCAGATGTCCTGAACCTTCATGGAGGCTACCGATGTTTTGCTATCGCAACATCAATCTAGAACGTGGGGGGACCCTGCACCTATTTCGCAATGCCTATAGCCATCGGGCCTTTCGAAATAAAGGACATTGTAAGGGCAATAATATTGTCTATTCATATATGCATGGTTCACATTATCAGGTGTTTCTTGAGAATCACCATTCTGTCTTTGTAATCCAGTTGAGTTCAGAAATACATGATGAAGTTGGTTTCACCTGATCTTCGCTACTTGTATGTGATGGTAGGATGGCATTGGGGCATCTTGACTACTGGTAACAAGTCCCTACTAGTACTTCAAATGCTAAACGAAACGAGTAGCAACTCCGGTGGATGATTAAATATTATAAACCATAGGGTAAATATCAGGCTCGTACTACTTAGACGCGAGACTTACAGATAGTCACGACAATGCATCATCCACACCAATGCTACTTAACAAACACCAGCACCACTTGTTTATTATCCCTAAGAGGAGAATCCAATGTTCAGTTATCAAGCCCAATCTTTGCGTGGCCGATGAGACCTACCAGTCACGTGATACATGTCAGTTGAGTCATGCAACCATTGGGCCGGCAATTGGATCGGCAGTCGCTTCCATCAGTAGTTCACGTCACGAGTCAGAGAATTTCCCAATTCTTCCTCAACGCCTCATCCTCTGGTAAGATTTGATCTTCTTCAATATGACTTCTTGAAAATATGTCGAACAAAGCAGGCTGGATCAAGAATCCCCGGGGGACAATTCAGGTCGAGACTGTAGAGCAATGGGTTCCTGGCCCGGGGGAACTGTTGGTACGGGTTGAAGCAGCCAGCTTTAACCCCATTGATGCAAAAGTCCAGAGGTATCGTGCTCAAGTACCCGCCAGTCGGCCGTCAGACTAAGAACCCAGGTTGGATTTATTCCAATCTCAGTATCCCCTCATCCTCGGATTCACCTTTGCGGGAACGGTAGTCTCTACAGGGCCCGGTATACATTCGGTGTAACCTGGCGACCGGGTGGTGGTGGCTCGCTGGGGCCAGCAGGCGAGCGAGGATTCCCGATTCGGTGCCCTCCAGATATATGCACTGGCGCTTGAGCAGAACACCCTGCGACTAGAGCCCGAGACCACATTTGCTGATTCCGCCGGCCTGATCGCCAATCTGGCGACCGTGATCTCCGCCCTCACAATCTACATGGGTCTTCCGAAGCCGCCAGTCGCCGGCACGAAACCGCCCACGGGAAAGAAAATTCTCGTTTACGGCGGTTCATCATCGGTGGGGGGCCTCGCGGTCCAATATGCGACGAATGCTGGGTATGGAGTTGTCACTACCTCGTCCGCGGCCAACAGATCCATGGTGGAGAAACGCAACCCGTCGCATATCATCGATCATAGCCGCCCGGACGAGGACGTGATCTGCGAAATCCGGGAGCATGGGCCTTACGAGGGAATCTTTGATGCAATCGGCTCCACCACGACAACCCAACGCATGGTGGCATTGCTGCGCGAAACGGGAGGCCGGTTCTTTTCAACCAGCCCTTCCCCTGGGGATGAGGCCATCCCTGCAGGTATAGAGAAGCTGTGGGCCGGATATTCTGAGACACTCGTATCTCAGGCTGCACACCGCGAATTGCGCACATGGTACATGGACGCGTATTTACCGGCTGCACTGAAAAAGGGCACGATATGGCCAAATCCGGCATTGTGGCTCGAAGGAGGGCTCAACTCCGCCCAGAAGGCGTTGGACCTCCTCTATGGAGGTCATATTAGCGGCCAAAAGGTTTTTATCAACCCACGAGAGTGAGGAAACCGTCATTCCGGAGACCATGCATCATCCTCTACTCCGGGGTGATACACAGTACGGATTCTGATGCGACTGTCGTTATGTATTCGTGCCTTTGAATAACATATCATTGGGCGGGACTCATTTAAGAAGTCTTGATTATGTTGCGAGTAAACAGCAGAAATAGCATCATTCGACGAGCTTGCCAAGAAGAAACCAGCATCCTTATAAAAAGTTAGGCCCGTACCTTATGTACATATGAGATGGAAGTGAAGTTGAAATGGCGGATTCTGTCCAGATTGCGAAAATAGCCTGAAGTGATATTCGTCCGGATGAACAAGACACAGATCCAAGATTGGCTAATGAAACGCGACTTATTAGAAACCTTCCTCCGACCTAGCACATAATCAGCTACTTAGTACCGTATTTAGCGACATCGGGCGCTCCTGCCATGTTCGTCCAGTGAAAGCCAGTATCTCAGTCAACAAGAAAACTTCAGACTGCTGAGGAGAGCAGAATATATATATTACGCTAGATACTTGTGCGACGCACTTTTTCAACCGAATTATAACCAATAGCATCAAGGGACCAGTTATCATTGGAATCAAGATCAAGATGGCCGTTTGAGATCCAACTGGCAATAAAAATCACTAACTGATCACTAATATATACTACTATTAAACTACATCTAGCTTGCTGCGATGGCTTATACTACAACTCATGCCTGGTAAGATAACTGTGTTCCGTTCACTTATCTGTCGTAGTATATCCTTTCATTTAGGCCAGAAGCTGCACGATCTCTTTCTGTCCCCGCCAAACCGCAATCCGCAACGCCGTCCAATTCTTATTCCCGGATGCCATGGACACATCGGCGCCAGCGTCCAGCAAGAGTCGCACAATGTCTGCGTGGCCGCCTTCTGCCGCTGCTGCCAGTGCCGTGTAGCCATTATACCGACCTCCGGGAGCGTTCACATCCGCCCCGGCCGTCAAGAGTCGAAGGACGGTGGTGCGGTGACCGTTAAAAGCCGCGCCCTGGAGGGCTGTCACGCCATGATATCTGCAGGGTGGTGCATTCACCTCCGCACCAACGTGAAGTAAAAACTCTACCATCTCATCATAGCCACCAAACGCCGCGGCCTGCAGCACGGTCCGACCCCGGTTGTTTGCGGGGGGGGCGTTGATCTCCGTGACAGGGTGGTGTTGTAACAGCCACTGTAAGATCTCGAGATGGCCTCCCTCCGCTGCAGCCTGCAGGGCGGTGCGCCCCACGTATTTGTGTGCCGGGTACTTGACGTCCGCGCCTGCGGCAACGACCAGATAGCGAACGATTTGGAAGTGGCCAGCGCCCGCGGCGAGGGTGAGGGCGGTTCGGCCGCCGTTGTTGCCCCCAGGAGCATTCACATCGGCACCAGCGGCTAAGAGCGTCTCGACCACCTTAAGATGACCGTTGAGCGAGGCTGCCTGAAGTGCGGTTTGACCGTAGTAGCCCCGGGGGGGTTCGTTGGGGTTGCTTGATGGCTGAGACAAAAGAAGCTTCACTTCGGGAAGATCGCCTTGCGCAGCGGCCAGCTGGAGGGGAGTCCAGATTCCCTCCTCGTCTGGTTCCTCCAAGGAAGAAGGCAGTCTTCCGTGCACTAGACTGGAAACTTGCGAAAGAGTCATGAAGGGGCACAACACGTCTCCGTTGTCAGGATTTGCCCAGGGAGCAGATTCTTGCGAAGTCAGGCTTTACCAACTAGTGCTTACGCGGTTATCACGGCATGATAAACAAGCAGGCCAAGACGAGGCTTGATTGCATCCCCGCCCAAAGGGTTCGTTGCTGATAAGCCCCAATATGCATGACCACGTATTACAGATGTAACGGGCGGAGCATTGTATTGAACATGACTGATTACAGGGCAGCGTCAGGAATCGTCTACTTCTGGCCCAGTCCAAATCTCCTGAAGCCAATAGCGATAAGGACATTGAATTTGTCTCCCCGTCCGCTGGCTTGCTGAATGAAACGAAGACTAGGATCACATAGTCACCAGTAACAAGGATACCAAGCCTTCCTTGGAAATATGCAAATGCTCGTCTACTTTTCGAAGGCTTTCTCGTGATTCCTGGTCGTAGCTCTGATATCAAAGGTGGGGTGTTCAGACCAAACGGATGTAGTCGACAAGAGAAGCTTTCGTCCAACGCATAGGCATCACCCGGGAACTGTCTATGATTACACGATATTCAAATGATTTCTCTGTACTAAAGCTCTTCTCTGTCTGTCAGTCCCGTGAAAGCCCGTAATTCTGGATAATACCGCTGGGCTTGGTCCTGAGCTTGTCTATGATGATGCTGAAATGATGTGGAACACGACGAGGATGCAAGAGATTCTTAAGAACTGGTATTCCACGTTTCCTAGTGAGTAATCTCATGTACAAATTGTACACCCACAGAAACATTTGATCTCACAATGATGCGTTTATCCTCAAAGCTGGTCGCGGCTACATCACTATATCTGCGGAAGAAGAGTTTGAAGTCCTGCACCTTGCATTCGAAATGGACAACGTCTTCGAGCAATGTGACCACCAAGGGCCATACCATGGCGGTTTATCACCAGCAATATTGTCTTGTAAGCTTTCTTACCCGCGGTTCGAAGTTCCGATCTCAACTGATTCTTCCTGTAGTCTCTTCGATAATATCAACGGTCGGTTGCTCGTCCCACCTAGGTTCAACGTCTCAACGTTCTGCTGTGCGCATCCCCTTCGTCAGCCACCGCATTCGTCCCGGCAACATGGATAGAGAGCAACACTGCATGCGAATACGGCAGATCCGTCGCCGAGGCCATCTCGTGTGACTGCAAGTTTGATGGACTAGCAATGGCCTGGCTCCCACCTCACGACAGTGAGGAAGAGTTGGCCTAGGAATCCAATACCGTAGGCTAACGGCCCAACGGTACTTGGAACTACTACGCGAATAGCGAGTGCACTATCCCTATGGATGCAAGTGATGTGGTGGAGTTGGGGGACTGACCGACGGCATTGGTACACATGAGTGTCCAATGGCACCCCCTTCACTGCATCCTTTACTGGCGCAAGCAGTTCCGTACGCAATCTAACGGGAAAGTCCTGGAGCCTCAATTGGACACAGAGCATCATAACATGCATTACGGAGAAATTGTCTTATCGCCATGATCAGGGACCATATTGGGGGTGGCGCTTGTGACCAACAGCGAGTAGGAGTGGACGCTCATACCCTTGAGTATCGGGGTGGTAAAGCGGGGGGTTTGTTACGGCGCATACGTCCTCCGTACACCGGCGGATGCCCGACATTCCTATGTGAAATCAGGGACGGGGCTGCGCACGGTCCCTAGGATCTATATCTATTGTCGGACATTAATAGATGTATATGGCTTTCAAGAAGTGGGGACTCATTTCAGAGTGTGCATCTCATCAGACTTCTTCTTCAATAATATGTCGGTGCATTAACTGCTAGACTAAAAACAATATATCACATCTAGTTAGACTAATAATAGAGAGATTACTGTTCTAATACAGCTCTCTTAAACTAGAGTTATTATAATTCTGTATTCTAGTTAGATACTTTTTTAAATTAGATAGATTATATAGAAAAAGTAAGCCAGATTAATTATATCTAATCTTAAATCTAAAATCTCCAAATCTGGTTAAGATAATAGATACTGGTAAGAACTGACCAGGTTTATAATCTGTTGGCATACTAACTGCTACACTAAAAATAATATATCACATCTAGTCAGACTAGCAATGGAGAGATTACTGTCCCAACATAATATTTGGTATACAGCGGTAATTTTGTGGTGAGCTGGCGACCACTTAGCTTGTCTTTATCAGCTTGTTAATACTTCTATTTCACCCGCCTCCAACTTACGTGCCGGAACTCAAGCGCCAGCAGCACCCCGGAAAGCTTCTGGCTGCAGTGAAAATCCAGCCATAACCTCGGTTTCGAGCATTAACTTCGATTCACGCGCCCCTGGTCTCGCTTTTTGGACTGTTTTGGAGAGGAGTTGGGAGCAGCCGTGGTTTTTCCGGTCGGATGATCAATCTATGGTACCGTGGAATCTCGTCGATGAGAGTGAACTGAGGTACCTACAATGGTTTCAAGAACGGTATCCAGAGATGGAGTAGGTCCGGCGGAGCGGCGACTATCTCAACACCTCCTTCTAGGAGGATCCGTACGCGCTGCAGATCACCACAGACGTCCTCTTCCACCCAGCGCATGCCTCCTGGCGCTGCATCGGTATTGACGCACCAGAGAGACCGGTCGGCTTGTCTGCCCGCGTAATATCGATGTTAATCACGTGAAGCACTGGTTGGGCTCTCTGGACGCGGTGCTTTTTGGGGATGGTATTGCCAATAAGGGTTCTCTACTACCACAAGATGACGATAATCGGATGCCGTGGTTGATAAATGCATGTTTCTATACACAAGTTAGTTCTCACAGAATACAATGGCTGGTATACTAATGACCTTAGAAACTGTTCATATAGATACAGAAGACTGACCCACTGAGAGCAGTGCATCGCATAAGTGATGTACAACTTACAATCCATGTGTTAGTAGAATCGCTTTGTCACGTTCTCCTGTTCTGGTATAGAAAAGGGAGAAAGACGAAAACAAAACAAAACAAGATAAATGAAATGAGATTAAATAAAATCAAATGAAAAAATGACATGAAATGAAAGAAAAGAAGAAGAGAAAAAGGTTATAGCAGCCAGACAGACGAGGGAATTAGCGGACCCAAGAAAACGGCTGCAGGTGGGCTCAGTTGGTATATGACTCAATGCAGACAGCGGTGGATGCAACAATAGACAACGATACCAGACAGTAAGATCATTCTTTCTCACCTGCCAAGAAAACCCGAGATAGTTCTCTTCTGTATTCTGACCAGGGCGGGAACTACGTTATCGTCGATTGGGAGAAAGAAGCTATTCCATATCATTCAGTGCAACGTTCCCGAAGCCTCATGCGTATTGTGACTGCCATATTCCTAATTATATCTAGGTCTACTATGTCGCCTAAGTCCCCATATCCACTTCACAAATAGTGTCTTCTCACTTCCGCGTCCCCAGCACGAGGTTTGCCGTCCACCGGACCTGTAGCCGCCCGCTCGGACATTCTTCCTCAAATACCCGGTCCCAATCAGCCAGCAGGGCTTTCGCAGTTTCGCCCTCGAGCTTGTGCTGTGCTGGCAAGACAGTGTTCAGATACGTAATAAGCCACTCCTTGTCCGTCTCGAACTCCCACCCCTCAGCCTCATCATCGATACCAGTAATATATTTCACTTTCTCATCCGAGTCATCCACTCGACTGTAATCCTCCGGCCGAAACTCAGGGGGGAAGTACTTCGCAAACTGCGAGTAGTAGGGCATCTTGCAATCCTTGGCAGAGTTGATATACACCCGGACAGGATCCTCAAACAGTTCTTCTGGCAGTGGAAGTGAGTCTAGCAGTCCTTCACCAGCTCCCTGGCGCCGTGCCACGTTGTAGACCATTTCCTTCTGACTTGACAGACCGCCATCCTGCTGTAGGTGCGGCATGAACACCCTTTCAAAGATGGACGCAAAAACGTCCTGAAAGTGTGCAGACTGCTGGGGAAATGTAGGTAGCCAATAGCTGAAAATTGCCATTGTTCCTCCCGGCCGTAGCATCTTCCCAATAGAGGCAATCAAGCCATCGGGGTCCATGAAATGTGCTGCAGTCGCGCAAATCACCATGTCCACCTGACCTTCACCGGTATGGTGGTATGATTCTTCACCTGTGCACTGCGAATATTCAAAGGCGGGTTGCAGGTCATGTTGCGCCGCCCATTTAGGAAGGAATACCCTCGCCTGGGATACGTTGCTTGGACTGGGATCCGAGAGATGGATGACTTGAAAGTCGGCCATGAAGTTAGTGGTGGCTATGCCTGAGCCACCACCAATGTCAACCAGGCGCTCCCAGCGAGTATGGGGATGGAGGCGTCGATAGGTATAGATAAGCGAAGTCAAAGATGACGGATATCGGGGACGACCCTGACGGTAGTATTCCCAGTCAATGGTTGCGAAGGCGGTCTTGGTGTGGGGGTCGATGGATGCCATAGTGTCAGCTTAGGTTGCCTTTAAGTTGCTGATTGAGTGAGTGAGTGAGTGAATGAAAGATCTGATTTGGTTCTACACGAGGTTATCCGATCTTTATAGAGCATACAGCTGCCTGGTCTATGATACAGTCTGTTGATAGATAACGGGAGCTCTGGTTCGAGGCCCTCGCGTGGGCTCGGAGTTACTTTTCGGAGGAAGTCTTGGGAATCAGAACCCTAAAGCACCGGAATGTTGAGTATATGACAGGCATATAGCCATAATAAAAGGCCTACCAAATTGTACTACTACCAATCGGGGTAATGGATGAACAGCTCCTTTTGTTGGGCTTTGTCCAATAAGGTTTAATCTTCCAATACCAAGAGGTGCCTGCAGAGAGACGGAGATGATCATTACCGTTTCCCGTTGTGATCATCAAAACCGAGCTTCTTGGCTGCAGTCCGCCCGGTCCAATTTGACCTCAATTTTGGCCTTTATCTACTCCGGCTGGGCGCATTCTTCCCAATGTCGGAAGCTCACTGGTGGAGGAAGTAGTTGTCAAGATCTTTTATATTGCTTTTCCTCGCTTTTGATACAGTAGGTGACCGCTCAATCACATATACATGTGTGTGATAAAGCACCGTTTGGGTTTAGTGATTAGTAGTTCAGTAGGAAACGGATGCTCAAAACAGTGGATTCAGTATTAGAAAGCTGGCCAGTCGAACTAATTCCTTCACAGGTGATTTTGTATAGAAATATATCATAGCAATGTCTGCTTTTCGTCGGAAATATTCACCTCGGGTCTCACACGCGGCGGGTTCAGAAGTTTGTACATGACAGATCTCAAAAAGATTAACACAACAACAGAATTCCCAGTTTAACAGTACATGTTTCCAACCCTATAGTTACTGTAATCCGAGCGGACAGGATATCATGCGTGAATAGCTTCAAGTGTGCCATCAGCACGGTCAACAAGAGGATCGTCCATTTAATTGTGTCGCTGTCGTTAGTGGACGACGTGATTAGAACATATTAGTAGTAGTATTCATGGATCTGCAGAGCTAACACTTTGCACAGCCACTTATAGGAATAAGTATAAGCTAACATAGTTGTACTTTGCTGGCTACTAGTATCGCCCGATATTTTTGTGAACCCAAATAAGGCAGCCCCCTGGCGAGCGTCTATCGGGGTATATAGGTTACTGAGTTGAATCATGCAGTCATCACGCAATGAACAGCAAGTGTGACAAGACATGCTAATCCTTGGCAGGTGAGCTTTTATGACGCCCTTCTTTACGTCTGAATGAAGTTCTGCCCAGAACCAATATTAGACCACGTGTTCCACCTTCTTATCGGCCAAGCCTGCTGTCTGACAGCAAATAAATACTGGTCAGTCCTATATTATAGTCTGGTATAGTGAACTACAATGTCATGTCTGACTAAGCTGACCCATGCTCGAGGTGCTGCCTACCCAGCTCTTAGGTCTCAATTTTTGGCGCCTCGGTTAACTGAGACGTAAAAAGTCCGACACCGCCAAAAGCCGTCAAGATACCGGAAAATTTGCATTGCATCCTCATACGCATCACCAAATAGACGGCAGGAAACGAGGATGCCGATTGTGAGCCCTTGATCCTCGGCGGCTGGGGCGTTGGCCTGCATGGGGATGGGTGGTACAGTGAACAACGTCCCGATGCCAATACTTGCGATGATCTGGAAGCTCGCCGACTGTAGTAGGGTCTCTAGATAGATAGACTATACAACAGATGCAAGTACATATCAGAGTGTACAGTTTGAGACAGTGAATGACGCTTCCAATAAGTGCCGTCTGCGCTGTACGCGAGGGGAAGATACTGTATGGAAACACAGGAGATTGTGGCCGGGACTCAAAGATAGCAAAGGCAGCGAGGATCAGGAACCCGAGCACCAAGGGTACTATGGTTCGCCACGTGGATCACGAGTACAATATTCCCGGCCCAGCTCAGGGGCAAAGCGAAAATAGTGCAGCCAACCGCAAAGACGATGATCCTTACCTAAGTAAGTAATACCACTTGCATGCGGAAGGATTCACTAACAGGCTTGAGACGCATGAAGGAATAGGTTAACACCACTGCAATAGCTATCACCGGCAGATTAATCCATCCAATCTACCGCCAGTCAACATACTCGCTGAACAGTGCCCCAAAGATGGGCCCCAGGATGCTTCCAGCAGCCATGGGTGGAAAAAGAAGACCAATGTAGGTGGCACGCTTCTGCAGAGTGGTTATGTCCGCTACAATAACCTCACTTAGTACATCAAGGCCTCCACCATCGATTCCCTAAAGGATCTGGCCTGATATCAACAAAGGCATGCTACGGGCCACGGCGAAAAAGATAGAGCCAACAGCAAAGAGAAAGAAAGCTGCATAAAGCGGAACCTTTCAACTGACAACTACGAACACACAATGACAACAGCAAGAGTGAAGGAGATGCTGGCCCAGAATGCGGTGAGGGTGTTGCTGGCAAGTTCACTGGTCATGGTCTAGGAGAACACTACATGAGTATAATGTCCCATGACCGTGGAAGGAAATGTGTTAGTAATCATCCCGAAGATAGCAAACCGCCAGAGTAATTGCGTCAAGTGAGACTAGGAAAACCATTGGCAGGAGAGCGACGGATGCCAGGTAGAAAGATCAAGGCTTTCGGCGGCCATTTTGCATCTCCGTGGCCATGGGCGGAGACATATTGGATGTATCGAAATCATGTGATTTCTCTTGACCCTGATTGGATTGACCTTTGGGCTCAAGAGCTGAAGTACTATTGCGGGATTCAGACATTGGGAATTGGGACATAGTGGGCAGGAAGGGCTGAATAACAAAAACCATATGGAGTACCCGGGGAGGTAAGTACAGTTCCTTCACCGTAACCTGTATCTTAATAGTCAGATGAATTGTGATGGACTGCAGAATCATATTGCGGACCCAAGCCGGGCTTAGGACTGCGATTGGGCGAGGTGGGCAACGCTTATTACGAGCTAAGAAGCTTAGTACGAACCACGCATCGGTGTCCGGTTTATTTCTGGTGTCTAATTCCTGCTATATATGACACATATGGCCCAGTCTGATTTCTCCTTCCGTCTTCCCGCGCTATGTCGAAGATCAGCTACACGCATTGTTGCTACTTCCTCGGATTGTTGGATTTCAAAACATACGGCCTCTATTCGTTTTAATGGATCTGCCATGCTGACAGGACGGTACTGATAAGCTCTAATAAGACCCATCAGGTCTGGAAGTCCCATGTTTCCTTTGTTAACCCGAGGGCACTACTAAAAGGGTCTATTGAAAAGTCTCTGTATCTGCCAACACCAATGGAGTTGACTCATCTGTGCATGTTGCGATCTGATACCGAGCCAAGCTTGCCCCATTCACAGATTTTTTATGCCTTAGCGAATCGACTCATTCAATTGACATTATCCTATGAAAAAGAAAGCACAAAGACGAGAAGGATTGCCTTGCTTGAATGATGCCCGAGTAAGGTACCTGTCACCGGTCCTAGGACCCCCTGCCGCCGCTGCTATCTCTGTTATATCCGGCACACCGAAAAAGGATCATGTCTAGAAAAACAGGTTTTGTTGAAATACTTCGTGATGGAGGCATCTAGATGGAAATGTACTCTTTTGTCAAGAAAATCGATAATTCTTACCTGCTCAATGCACTTGCGCACAGCCGTACAGACCTCCATGTTCTGGAGGTGGGGGCTGGGACAGACGCGCAGGCCAGCAATCTCGCCTCGACGCACTAAATTCTGCAGTCAAAATATTCCCCGCTAGCTATCAGATACGAATGTGAAGTGGCGTGGGAATTAACAGTGTTGGGAACGTTGAAGAGGGTGGGTGGAGCTAGAGGTGGCGAGATACGATGGTCAGTGTATGTAGCAGTGCAAACTGATTTCACCAACTATTAGAAAAACATCAGCCGGTATTCGTTCAAATTGGTAGGCGTTGACGACACTACTCCATGTTTGTTTGGTTCTAATGTGAGGGGGAATGCTTGTGATGAGGGGAATGAAATGTTGTTACTTCAAGACATACTCCGAACTTGGATAATGAACACCACCACCCACGTCTCTGATGAACACAATGCAGGAGGCCCAAATCTTGTTAGATTGGTTAACCCACAATTGAGTTTTGTTCTGGTCCCCACGGACACGGTCACTCTCCGGAACCTGTCAGTCTAAGTATGAGGAAAGGCACATGACCGACATCGTATAAGTTTATTGTGTGTCAGGTGGTTACACTCCATATGCGCCCCGCAAGAAATGTAAAAGTTCCAAGGAACGCAAGGAATTGAGGGCGGGGAGGCCGACAGGCTCGTAGAAGAAAAGGAACGGTACGTTGTCCCAAACGTAGACCAGCCTTAGGACTGGGTCTACCATGAACTGAGAATTGTATCTCACGATTCGGCTCCGTCTTAGAGGGGCCCAGGCCTCGTATCAATTCCTGCATCAAAGGATTCAGGTTACTGGGTGTGGCCATGCACATAGAAGACATATCATTTCTGACATCATCTCTTTTGCCGTGCCAATGAAACGAATTTGTTTGAGTCCCCACCACAATCATGCTCATGTCGCTCGTAGATGCGGTCAATAATGGTAATTGATATGGTAGATGAGTAACCATGTTAATAAACCCTAATAATGATAAAACCCTTCTCATACACCATTGTAATGCAGAACCAGCATCCGAGAGAAACATATGGGCCGAAACATACCATTTGGTGTCTGCTGGATTCAATGCTTAGCCAAAACCTACTTGTGCGCGTTGCCCGTGCGGAATAGCCATGCCCCTCGCATCAGTGTGGCATGAGGACGCCACCCTTGATGCTATGGCAGAAGTTGGACTGGCTCGGAATCTTATGTATATTCCAACCAAGCCTGAGCGGGTGAGTTAACCGGCCAGCAATATCTGCGCAAGGAGAAGAAGACCCAGGGCCCGGTGCGGAGATCCCGCTTGGCAAAGCGGGTACCACTGAGTGATACCCTTAATAGTACCCCCCTTACTACTCCAAAATCTAGCCATTCATAGGTATCTGTGTTAATATCTTGACAACATACTGAGTTTCACTTAGCGTACAATTGGTTTTTGCTCCTCAAACGTCTAATTAGACCTGTCTGACTTCACGCTTAGAGCATACCGAGCCTACCATTGCGACGTGATGTGTTTGTAGAATGGCCTAGAGCGACGTAGTCTTTCCTTTCCAGTATAGCCGGCACCCCGCCATTTAAAGTTTCCTCCTCAGTTGTATTCATCCTCTAGGATCTACAGAGCTGACTGCCCATGGTCTAGAAGCTTCCCATATCACACTTCACCGCAAAGTTCCATTGGAAAGGATATAAGGCCTTTGCTGGGTTCCCAGCAACAGACCCCAGACTTAATGAATCGCATTGTTCTCGGGAAGGGTTCCAACAAAGGCGGGTTGGGCGGGGTACCCGCACACGAAGTTGCAATATAAGGTTTAAAGTTTTGCCGCCAGCAGATTCCAGACCGGAAATACGAAGCCGCTCTGAATCAATAGTGTCGTTCATGATAAGGTTTTAAATATCCATGGGGTAATCTTCGATCCCCGAAGATATGATTTTGACAACCCTTGGTTCGTACACCGCACCTCACCTTATTCATTGAAGCTTCTGACTTCGGAACTTTAATTTAGGATTCCGTTTTCATAACCCTAAATTTACATGTGTTGGTTCTAGATCCTCTAGCCTTCGGTGTTTACTGCTCTTCTCGAATGACTAGCCAGTCTCATACTATAAATACCAAGGAACATCCTGTCTCAATTGGTATTCTTTTGCACTCTACACAATCCACTCATAACAAGTATCTCGTTCACCAGCTTCAAAGATATCTGCCACTGAACATTAAGATGAAGGTCTTCTACACCCTCTTGCTTGCAGCCCTTGCTGGCTCCGTGACTGCTTCGCCTGTAGCAAACGGTGGATCGTACAAAGATGTTCAAGGTATACAAAGACACCATATTCAACATCCCTCTGTTCCGCTAACATTCCACTAGGTCATTATCATGATTATGATGATCATCAATGCACCAGGGTAGACCGCGAATGCAAGAAGTGGGACTCCCGGGAGTGCAAGTGTCTTGATAAAGATGGACACAATTACCGCCGGCAAACTGCAAGCATCACCACACCGCCAGCAGCGACAGATACCAACACGAATGCTAACGCAAACACCAATGCTAATACCAATGTGAACCAAAATACTAATGCTAATACTAATGCCAATACCAATACCAATGCCAACACCAACCAGGCAACCACTCCACCTACTTCGACTACAACGGTTCCTACAACTACCTCAACTTCTACCTCGACTTCAGCATCAAGCCAGGCAACTAGTACCAGCACGAACAGCAACACCAATACCAACACCAACACTAACACCAATGTCAATGTGAACACCAATAACAACGTCAATACCAATATCAACAATATTAACAATGCTGCACCCGCTACAGGTGGCGGATCGACTGAAGGCGGCGTTGGCGGAGGCAGTGGCAATCCCTCTGATTATAGGTGCCACGGACAGTGGTGTCCTAACTACTTTCCAGGTTGTGAGATCTGGGACTGGGATCACTGCAGGTGTGGAGGCCGCTTCTGTATCAACTTCGACACTAACTGCCGTAATTGGGACTGGGACAGTTGTTCATGCAGATAACGGACATAAACGGTAGGACATCTAATATGCTGATGGGTGGTTATTACAGCTTGCTAATTATATTGCTAACAACATAGAAATCCGAGGGAAGTTTCTTGGCTAGTTATTGAAGGAAAGGGGTTGTTTGTATTGATGTCATTTCCACGGGGTCGAAAAAGGCAGCCACTTGAGTCTATGACTTCATAACCTAAGCGTCTATGTGGTATTGGGTACAACACCCTAAGCCGAACATGTTTATTTCTTCCAAAAGTCTCACAGGGTTCAACACCCTTACTGGCTGAAAAGGGTTACAATTTACTTAAGTCCTCAGGCAGAATGTCAATGAACAGGATTATTGCTTCCAACTCATTATTGTCACGATAAGGTAGCTGGTCTACATTGGTAATGAAGTATTAGAGGCGAGCCATACCTAGTATTGGATCACCGGCTCTATGTACAAGAAGGCTATTGTGATGGCATTGAAGCAAAGTGATTGGGGTACATGTTTATTTGTGCTTTGTTTGATAAATATTATGTAGTCTTAGGTATTTTGCCTATTTATTTATTGTTCTTTATTGTTTATGTTTCTTCCCACACTGCCTTTTACATATTTAATATTCTGGTTTAAACATACCAAATGAAATCTATTTAATTAGCTGTTATGTAATATCAAATATTATAATCATTTAATTTTTTCATTTATACTAAATACAGCTATATTAAATAAGACTACCAGTACCTTTTGTGATATATAGCGCGTCATTGTCGGGGTGATAGAATCCTACATTGAATTCCATCGCAGAGTCCTCTTGTTCCTGGACTAAGTCAGG